TGGAAACATGGGGACCCCAGGTCAGGGGCCTGGAAACTGCCATTTATATAAAAATTACAATAAATAATAAGTATTGGATTCATATCCACTAAATGTTTGTTTTTTTTTTAAACTCAAGGTGATTCCTGATTGAGCCGACCTCTGTCTACTTCCAGGCCACCTCATTTATTTTTTTTTAATTTTTTTAAAAGATTTTATTTATTTATTTGACAGAGAGAGACACAGCGAGAGAGGGAACACAAGCAGGGGGAGTGGGAGAGGGAGAAGCAGGTTCCCCGCGGAGCAGGGAGCCCGATGTGGGGCTCGATCCCAGGACTCCGGGATCATGACCTGAGCGGAAGGCAGATGCTTAACAACTGAGCCACCCAGGTGCCCACCCAGCCACCGAAGAGCCCACCTCATTTCAAGTAACCCTCCCCTCCCCTATCCTGGTGGTGGGTTAGGGGTCTGATAGCAAAGCAGACATGAATGTTAGATCACTCTGGTCCTTCTCTGAGGACATGTTTGGGGACCGGGTGGGCCAGAGTGGGGAGAAAGGGGTTCAGCTTTGCCAGAAAGTTATCTTCAGCCTTCACTACTTGGGCATTTCCAGGAAGTGAGGCTCTTGCTACTTCGAGTGGCTCTACATTCACACAAATTGAAATAGTGGCAGCCAAACGAGAAGTTAACAACCGATCTGAATATAAAAACACAAAAGAAGGATGATGAAAATTGTATGACCCCAAAACCCAGGCAACTGGCTGAAAAAAATGTGTAGCCTTATGCAAAAAAGGACACAAAATGTACATGTGTGTGTATTGTCAATTTTATTCAAGTTGGGGGTAGGAAAAAGAATCAATAATCAAAGACTTTGTAACAGAGGCTGTGATGGTCCTTTTTTTATGCATCATCTTGCCTGGGCTTCGGTCCTCAGTTATTCACACACTAATCTAGGTGTTGCCAGGATGGTATTTTGTACTGATTAAAGTTCTTAGCTGACTTGAAGAAAGGGAGATCATCCTAGCGGTCTGGGTCGGCCTGATTCAATGGGCTCCAAGCCCTGAAGGAAAGAGATCTCCGTGAAGAAGGAGTTCTGCTGGTGGGCAGCAGCTTCGGCTGGCCGTGCCTGAGCGGTGCCAGCCCACCCTTCCTGACACCTGCCCTGCCACTGGGGACGTGCCCAGCTGGCCTCCACAACCACCTACAACTGTCCCTTGCAGTGAGTCTCTTGATACACATCTCCTGTGAGTCCTGCTTCTCCGTCTGAGCCCTGACTAATACAGAGCCCCAAGATTTATGCCTACAACTCATGAGACCCTGAGTTATACTGAAAGCCTTCTCCCAAATCTGCACGAAAAACATAAGATACTCAACTGGCCAGTAAACACGTGGGAATTCATTCACCTGGATGGTCAGTGGGGGGAATTTGGCAAACTCCAAGGCCACTGGAGCCCTGTGGGGATGTGGGATGAAGCTACAAAGTGAGGGTGGTTCCTCCAAGAGTTGCCGCCGAGCCTCAGGAGGAGTCTGCGGCGAATCCAGATGCAGGGAGGTCGCCGTGGCCTGAGCCACCAGCCACCGGATGCTCAGCTAATTGTCACTCCATGTAGCACCCGGAACCCTGAGCATCAACCACTGGACCTGAGCTGAGCCTGCAAGGTGGGGCCCTGAGGTCAGTGTCACTGCCGCCCACCCTGGCATCCCGGGACTGGCTGGCTGATGGGTGGGGGCAGCTCCCACCAGACCTCCCCCTTCTGGCAGCCTGGGTCAGGGACCCATGCCATGCACTCTGTGGTACACACAGAGGGGCATCCTCCGCATGCCCCTTAGGGCAGCGCTGACTACCTGGGGGTAGAGAATGCAGGCAGCAGGAAGGGCAGCAGACTGCCTCCAGTCATTAGCAGAGAGCTGCCTGGCCTGAAGTCACAGCTGTCCTGGGGCAGTGGTGGCCCTGTGCCTGAGCTACAGCTGTCCGGGCACCGCAGGATGATGGGCAATCCTCCTCCCCAGCACCCTGCCCCAGCGCAGCTGCAGCTTTGTGGGGGCTGTGTCTGTGTTGATGTCTCCTGCCGTACCACCCCCTTCTTCCTTCCACAAGGGCTGATCCCCCATAAACACGCATCCTCTTCTCTCCCCCATCCCCAGCTGTCTCAGTATGCTCTGGAGAGCCCAGCCTGGGATGCCTGGAACAAGCTCCATGCCAAAGGGCACCAGGGTCTCCTGCAGGTCACCTGTGGCCATGAGGAGGGAGGAGGGAGACTGGGCCCACAGGTTCCGGTTTGTCCTCGCTCATCCCTTTCGGCACCCACCTTTCTTTCCCCACTGCGGCCCTGCTGAGCTATAGGGGCGCCTGGCCTGTGACCAGCCTCACTCACTCACTCCCACGACTGCGTGCAGTCCGGTCCCTTTCATTACCCCTTACTCAGCATCACTATGGTGGTTCTGCTCCCATTTCAAGCCCTGATACAGGGACCCGAGGAAAAGAAAAATAAAACGTCACGAAGGACAAGAAATAACATGAACTTTGAAATCAGAAAGGCCTTGCCTGAAACACTTGTTTAACTTTACTTTTCCTGAAAACATGGAGTTCAATGTTTATATAATGCTTTACATAACCCTCCAGGATTTCATCAGAGTGTTCCTGGATCTGAACCTATGTTCTTGCATCTCGAGCCACCTGTTCACTCTGTACATGAGGCTTGATGGAAACCCAAAGGTGATTTGTGCTGGCAGTGGCCTTTAGCGGAAGGCAAGATCCCTGGTAGGAGATGTCGGGTGTGCGCTTTGCCTCTCAGGTACAAGGGCAGGCCCTGCCCCCAAGAAGTGTGGAAACCCAAGGAACAGTGGAGATGTCCTTCTTGCACTCAGGGCATGAAAGTTACCCCTGAGAGCTCCACAAGGAGAGATTCTGGAACCCATGGGCCCATGGGGCCTCCCCTGTTCCCTGAGCTCTGGGCAAAATGGTCTTGAACTCCACACCCTCCTCCCTGAGTGTCAAATCCAGAGCCTGTAGGGTGAGCCGCAGCACCATCCGGGGCCCTCACCCACCTTCCTGGCGTGAGGGCCGCACTTGGCTTCTGCCTTTGGAATCTGGAACCTCGTGCTATCACTCCTGTGGCCCTGCCTGCACCGAACCATAAAGGCAGAGAAGTCTGGGAGGGGTCGTATTGCACCGGCTGAGCTGACACAGTGCACACCGCCCCCGACCCACGGGACCCTGGTTACCTTGCAGCAGCCCCCCAACACAGACAGCTGAGTGTGACAGGGGCTGGCCAGTGCCCCCCAACCCTGTGTCCGGGCATCGCTCCCAGCAATTCTGCACCTGTCCCCGCCGCCCCAACTGCAGACAGACGCTCCCTCAGGAAAGCAGTGCAGGTAGTGATGACAACAACCACTCAGCGAAGTCGGTTATTTATTGTGCGGAATTAATCATTCAGAATTAATAAATATTCTATCAACACACTTTAACAGAAACTATTTAGGGACTGCACGACTGCAGCGCTATCACCCAAGGACTGAAATAACAATCTGAAAAAAGACATACGTCAAAATGACACATTCCTGCAGATGGCTGATTCAAGGCTTGTTTGTCAACCAAAGAACAATAGGAATATTGATGAGCTCAACATCAGAAACAACATTTTTAAAATAAACTTGATCTTTATGTACTCACTTGGAACCACCTACGAGATATATTAAGGAAAAGAACAAGATGCAACACATCGGAAGAGTGTGTGGTTCGCTAGTACTTGTCTTAAAGAGGGCAAAGAATATATCTGTTATCTATATTTGTATTTTGTGTATACCCTCTATGTACAGATGCATATATTATATACATGTGCTTATATAATCCTATACTATTTCTGGAAAGACACAGATGACACTGGTATCATTGGTGCCTCTGAGGAGGGGATGTGGGTGGCTGTGGGACAGGGATGGCAGAGTTTTTACTACATAACACTTCATACTAAATTTTTAGCTTTGAACCATGTGCAATTATTATCTACTGAAAAACAAATTTATTTTTTAAATTTTTTTAAAGATTTATTCATTTATTTGAGAGAGAGCACATGCTCGTACACGTTCAGGGAGAGGGGTAGAGGAGAGGGAGAGAGAATCTTACGAGCAGACTCTGTGCTGAGCATGGAGCCCGACGTGGGGCTCGCTCTCAGGACCCTGAGATCACAACCTGGGCCAAAACCAAGAGTTGGCCACTTAACCGAAGGCACCACCCAGGCGTCCCCTGAAAAATAAATTTAAAAGAAAATTCTAAAATAAGCAGCAAGAAACCCTTAAAAAAATACATGTTAAGTTCATCACCATCCACAGCATATTGGGAAATACCCACATGGTGGCTTACAGTGTCATATTAAAAAAAAAAAAAGTCTTATGAGTTCCTCTTAACCTCAATTTTCAAGCCACAAATACACATCGAAGAAAGAAACAAAGAAGAGCCAGAACTGGATGGTTTCTTGCAACTAGGTCCTGTGCAGGCCCTTGGGTCTAAGAGTCATCTAGGCCGAGCTTAGCAGCAAAGAGTGAGGTGACGACATCATCCCCAGTTTGCAGAGCCAGGTCATATGGTGTCTGGCCATTCATGTTCTTCTTTTGGATGCTTGCATTGCATCTGCCAAGGAAATGGGCATGAATAGAAGAACTCAGGCACCTGAACCTGAGGGCCTGGCTCTTCCCTGACACAGAGGCCGGTCTGGGAGCCTCCTGGCCCCACCTTCCTAAACCTGTCCCCAGGAGGCCACTATGACCCCCACTCTCAAAGGAGGCTCTATCCTGAGACCTTTTGAGGGGCTCTGTGATTTCAACATGTTCAATTGCCAATCCTGCCCATTGGCTCCCATTGCATCGAAGTCCTACAGCCAAGTATGTTTGGTGGGGGGACAACATTTCCATTGTGCTTTTAAGAGCCCTCAGTGCTGGGGACCCACAGTGGGATGGTGGCCCCCATTCACAGGGTTAACTGTTCAGGAACTAGGGCCTTCTGAAATCATCACAGGTCAGCAAGGGGCCCTCAGAAATCTCCCTCAGAGGCTGGAAACGTACCGCAGTAAAGCAGCGACACACTCCCTTCCTGCCAGGCCAAGCAGAGTTGCTTCATGAAGAGCTGTATTTTGGAGCCTGTTTGGGGTGGGGGAGAAAATCATCCTGCTAAAGCAGTGTAATGCAGGATGCTGTGGGCATGCGGACAAAATCACACCAATGACACCAACCCTCCTTCATCTTTCGTTTTTCCTTTCTCCCTGGTAGCACAACTGTTACTTCACCCCTCACATTCTTTGGGTCTTTATTAGGCATTTACCACTGGAACTTATATGTATCCCCGGGATTGCCACATCTCCTGAGTAGACGCATGATCTTCTTTCATAACTCCCTCTACACTGAGAGCAGAGCGCACCTTCCATTTATGAGGTGGGGAGGGGGCACCATGGCTGGATTTTCTGTGTAACCACAGTTCAGTTTGGGGAAGCAGTGAATTGTGACTGCCAACTCTAACTCTGTCCACTGCTCTGACTCCAACAGGGCAAGGACGCTAGAGGGGACACCCTCTTCTGTTCAGAGCAGAGGTGATACCTGTGAGTAGCTTGGTGTTATATCACCAGACCTTCTAGAATGTGTTTTGTACAGCAGGTACACCATGGTGTTCTGTGAATTTGTGTTTTAAAGAAACTCTACTATGAATGCACAAACTACTCAAATGGTTTATTCAAATCTATGTATCATGGTAGATGAAGGTACATTCTCTCTTTGTAAATCATGAATTACCTAATAGAATAACTCTCCACAGTTGAACCTCTAAGAAGCAGACTAATGGTTACATCCACCCCTCCCGGCTACTGGGGCAGAACTAAGAGACAGAATGTTTGGAATTGCCAGTGAAGGAGGGTAGATGTTGTCCAAAAGCAAATGGCACTTCTCTTTGCCCATCTCTTAGTGAGACCTTGAATCTGTGTTCTTGAAATCTGCCGATAAGAGGAATCAGCTTTGGTGGAGGATGTGTACCTCTCCTTAGCCATCCCTTTGGGTTGAATATGAGTGTATTCTGGTAGGAAAGAGACAAACATTGGAAACAGAAACACTAGGGAGGGGCTTTCTGTTACCTGCCAACCCACTGGACAGAAGTTACCTGGTGTAAAGACCACCTACGCTGCTTCTCTCCACTAGTCAAACAAGCTGGGAATGCGGGGGAGGAAGAGTTTTTAAATCCTTGTTTGCTAAGGGACAATTCACTGAACCTTTTTTATGGGAAAGCCAGATCTCTGGATGGCTTGTGCCTGAGGAGCAGTAGGATAGATGGAGTCCTGAGGTCATGTTCCTGGATCTACAGAGGTCCAGCCAGGGGGTAGAGGTCAGGCTGATCCAGGTCTAAACACTTCGAACTAACAAATATAAAGCAGACAGCAGAGTTGGCTCTCAGTGGAGAAATCTGCTTTCTTCTACTGGCATAAACTAAAGGGGAAGAAGAGATCTCTGTGCTCTATTTTGAGGGAGGGCTCTCGTCTAGCTTTCCTCCCTCCCCTCCATGTGAGCTAGATTCTGCTAACCATGCTAATGCAGTGGGAGTGACAATGGGCTATTACACACTGTTCAGACAGATAGTACAACCGCAGAGTTAGACTTAGTAGAGATCACGTGTGGGTAAATGTCAATTTATAGAATGGTAATGAAGTAAGAATGGAAACTGAGGAACACCAAGGAAAAACAGGTAATCTGTTCCATGTCCAGAGTAGTCCAGAGTAGTTTCTTCCTCTCAGCGGGACTTCTCATAAGCATCAATTCAAAATCTGTTCAAGAGATTTTGTGCCAACCACAGACATTATACATAAGTGCTCCAAGAAAAGTTTGTCTGAATTGTACAAATATAAAATACACCTTCATGCTGAACATGGTGGCATTATTTTTATGAATAATGATAACCCAAGTGTGGGACAAACGAAGAAGCTGACAGAGTATGAAGAATGTGAACCCCAGAGAAAGGTGAGCAAGTAAATTCCAGCCACCAAATACGTCCACCAAATGGGCCAAACGTTCTGCTCTAAAATAAAACTAAAAAGAGGTTGTGTCTACCTGATATAGCTGTCCTGTTGGACAGAAACATAACAGTGCACACAGAAAAATTAACTGGCATAAATTGTGAATAAAACCACTGGAGGAAAAGTTGAGACGGAGGAAAACAGAAGCAAAGCTATCTAACTTTGGTTCCACGTGCTGGCTTGACACACTCAGCAGCACGATTCTCTGGCGGGCCTCGATCTGGTCTCAGAAGTAGGTCAAGGGGCAGCAGGGTCAGATGGCTGCAGGACCCCTAGAGAACTCCCAGTTTGGCAACTTGGTTGGCAGGCTATTAGCAGTTAACACGTGGAACCCATCCTCAAGGAACTGTCCACCCCACATTTCCAAAGTAATTTCAGAGAACAACAGAATCCCAAGGCTGCGAGAGGTCAAGAGGCAGGAGAGGCCCGAGACCAGGGAAGTGACAGAAGTACCCAACAGGACTTGGTATCTGTCCATCCTGCTTCCCAGCTGGGGAAACCAAGGCACCAACCAGATCATGTAGTGAACTCGGATGTGCAGTGTCATCCCCAGTGTGTCAACATCCAGAGACAACTGGATAAGGTTTTCTTTGTACAGTAACTTCATGGCTACATTTCCATAGGGACTACACTGGGCCCACTTTTCTCTTAGCGATCTCAACAGTCCAGATCAGGATGAAAATAATGTTGCTTAACATCCCAAGGGTGAAGGATTTGCCTCCCCCCACTCAGTATAAACCCGAGAGCTAACAAAATTTATCATTTATAAAAGCTACAAAAAATTCGGCAATCTAATAATCCACTTAAAAAGTTTTTGTTTTGCCCAGGTTTGAAAAATAGTGGCAGTGAAGTCTCTTATTAAGGCCCAAATGGGTTAAGATGGTTCCCAAGTGGTGCCAACGGATAGGGGCATGCGTGTGGCTGGATGCTGCTAGAGCAGGCCCCGGAGGCAGCGGCTGGCTGCGCCAGAACTCTCCATTGACGGCGTCTTACTTACGGGCCCCAGTGCTGCTCCGTGTCTGCTCCTCTCTGCACGAGAACCGGAATCACTTCGTGATGCGTGTTCACAACAGCCACGGTAATCACGGGTCGCTCTTCACTGTCCCTGCAATTGGGGTCTGCTCCCTGCAGCATAAGGGAAAGGACAGACTTGCCTCAAACCCTGCTCTCGGCAGCAACCAGCTGCCATCCTGCGAAGTGTAATGCACATGCTTGCCGGAACTAAACTGCTTTACATCAAAAGAGAACAGAATCAGGACACCCAAGATCTAACCGCCCTAACTCGGGTGATAAAACTTCTGCTCCCCCGATCAGGAGGGGCAGGCATCCCCCAAGCCTCGCTTCTTTAGGAAACATGAAGGTCACATGGGGTCACAGGCCAGGGATTCTGTCCACATTTATGCACATTATTTGGGCTCATATGACTTTTCTCTTTGCTATAAAAACTAGTAACCAGGAACAATTACTGGAAAGTTCTTGACTAGCCATTTAGTCCACTTCCAGGCAGTTTGAAATGAAATGGCACTGTGGTTGGGCGCCTGGGTGGCTCAGTCGTTAAGCGTCTGCCTTCGACTCAGGTCATGATCCCAGGGTCCTGGGATCGAGTCCCACATCGGGCTCCCTGCTTGGCCGGAAGCCTGCTTCTCCCTCTCCCACTCCCCTGCTTGTGTTCCTGCTCTCGCTGTGTCTCTCTCTGTCAAATAAATAAATAAAATCTTTAAAAAAAAAAAAGAAAAGAAATGGCACTGTGGTTATCACAATACTGAACAAGACTTGCATCTGAAAGAGACAGAGGTGAAATGTGAGGCTGAAATCCTCAGAGAGACTTGTTCTCTAGTTGTACTTACCTCCTCAAGCAGCTGTTCAATCACAGAGACTCTCCCTTCCCCTGTCGGTCCGACTTCCTTCAGCAGAAGCCTGTTTTCAGGCTGCAGGGTTACACAAGGTCATTTCCACCGCCGTGAAATAGCACTGTCTCCCTTGCCCAGACCCAATTCCCAAGGCAAACACTTCCTCTCTAAGGTTAAGTTCTGAGCTCCAGGGACAGGTGAGTGTGAGCGTTTGTGTGCGTGTGAGCATGTGTGTGGTCTTCGACACCAGCAGCACAAAAAAACCTAGCTAATGTAAATCTTGCTGGTCTCTGAAACCTTGTCTCGGGGAAGAATACCACATTGACATTGTTTTGTCTTTATTAAGGACAGGGATACAATGAGAAACCTCACCACCCCAGAAAACCCAGACTAGTTTTATTACAAAGGAAATAAATATTCCTAAGAAAAGCAACCGGGTGAATCCTAATATTTCCTCTGCACAGTTTTATAAAGGGTTCAGAATCAGCCTAAGTATGACTGTTCAGAAAACATGCTCACCTGAGGCATGAGTGAACTGATAAAGTCGAATCTTGTTTGGGGGAAGAAAAAGCTCTCACCTATCATCAGAAATCTGAAGAATTTATTATATGCTCTGTTTTCAAAATGTGATGAAATTCCCCTTGCTATGCAATCTTTCTTTATATTTAAAGGATTGCAAATGCTGGTTGCTACAAGGCTGAATGAAGAGACAGTCTAGAAAGCCGGAGACATTGCTTTCAGTATGTTTCCATCACTGGATCTGAGGGTGACCTGGGGTGGTTGGTCCCCGGACTCCCGTTTTCCTGTCTGTAAAGTAGAAATAATATATCTATCCCCTCCTGTCTTTCTGGGGAGCCATTAGGATGAAGACATTGGTCAAGGCCTGTGAGCCTTCTGGAAGAAGATCCTGGGTTCAGGCTGTGTCCCTTCCACCCCCTACTCTAAGGTGATTAGCTTGGAACAAGGTACTCTAATATTAAAGTGAACCCCTAGAAAGTCTGGGGGGCACATTTGTTCTTACTGAATTCCATTCCTTATGGAAACTTATACTAGAATGCACTAGAATGTCACCGCATGAGGTCTGAGACCTTTATAGCTTTTGTTCATGATTTATTTTCACCACCGAGAACTATGCCTGGTATATGTGTGCTTCAAATAACCACTGAATGAGTGAACCACTGGATGCTGTTATTATTTGTCTGATACTTATCCCCTAAACACAAATGGGAAAATAAAGGCACATAGCAATGGGGAGATTTGGGTCACATACAGTGTAAGTGGGTAGAGTCTCCAAAACTGTTAAAGTTTATGTAACTCTACACTTCTCTTCTACTCAATGACAATATTTTAAACTGAGAGAAGGCCAAGAGTGCAAGGAATTATACACAATATATGTTAATATCATTCTAAGGTCTTTTTCCCAAATTTATTGGTGTTTATGAGATGCAAAGCACATGGTGGGAAAACACAAGATGAGGCGAGAAGTCACCTGCCTTTGGAGAAATAATGATACAAGCTGGACACCAGTATACACACCCCTGAGGGCACCCTGAGGGCCTGGCTCCATGGAAGGTGGAGGAAAGAACTCACACGTGCCCATCTTCATCGTGGGGGAAACCCAGGCTTTGGGCTTGTTGCTAAGCACATCTGTCTTCCCTACTGCAGCCAAAGAGGACCGACTGAAAGGCAAGGTGAGGGGCTGAACAAGGGCACCCACTATCTCTTTCTCCAAAGCTCCAGTTAAAAGTGTTCAGTGTTCATGGTCTGTATTTTTGAAAAACAAAACTCTAACAGCTGTGGGAAACTCTGGAAGGGTGCCATCAGTGGATGGGGAATTGTGAGGAATTCCAAAGACTGGAAGTAGCTGGAATTTGGCTGAGAGGGAAAACAAAGCAAAGAAAAACCAGCTGAAGATACCAGAGATAGTAGTCTGTTCCCTCCAGGGGGCCCTGCAGAAGCTGAGTTAATCAACAAGGAGGGCCAGTGTTGGGCGCAGGCTGGATTCATGAGCGTTCTATGAAAGGGCTTTGCTGGTGAGTGGCTGAGATGAGTGGTGTCCTCCTCTCTCTCCTGGGCTCTCTGCTTAAAGCCTGGTAACTTTTTTTCCAGAGAGTTCATGATCTGCCTAACAAACTCTTCTACTGAGAGTACTGGGCCCACGACGGGCAGAGCCCAGACCTCTGTGACAGACACAGGGATGGAGAATAAGGAAGGAAGGACAGCTCCATCCAGGAATGAAATATGCTAGAGCCCTTCACAGCACCATCCTCACCTCCAGAGGAAAGGCAGCTTAGGGGACCCCAAGGCTTTCTCCTGCCCTCCACCCAAATACCCTCCAGGTAGGCCTGCCCCACAGCATGCCCATCCATCCCCATGGGGACCCGAGGCCCACACACCCATGGCAGGCACTGACACTACTCAAACCAGCCCTTCACTTGTCAACATGATCTGGCAACCAAGGATCATCACATATTTGAGACCAACCAAAAACAAGACAGACAAAGATGGACAGACAGAACTGACCCCAGAGGAAACAGAGGTGATTCCGGGAACTAAGAACTTTAAAATAATTCTAATTAATAATCTCAACATATTTTAAAGGATTCCATAAAATAAAAATACACTTCTAAAAAAGGAACAGAAAATGAAAAAGTATTCTTCTATTTAAAAAATCTCAAAGCAGGGCCACCTGGCTGGCTCAGTGAGTAGATCATGCGTCTCGATCTCAGGGTCGTGAGTTCAAGCCCCATGTTGGGTATGGAGCCTATTTTAAAAAATAAATAGAATGGAATGGAATGGAATAAAATAAACAAGATAAAGTAAAATGAAGTAAAATTAAAAAAAAAATCTCAAAGTAAAACATTCAACAGCCAGGCCTAAGAAGACAGCTATAAGGACAAAGGAGTACACATACTGTGAGTTGCTCCTTTTCTTGAAACTTTTTGGTCTTGAAATTCTTTGTCCTCTTGACTTTTTCAGTGGTGTCTGAGGTGCTTTGGCTGTAGTCACTCACTGAAATGACAGAATCAAGGACTAAAACAATGCTCCCCTGCCACTCCCCACATATAAAGAGCTATCCTACTATCATGCCCCTCAAGAGGTCAGAAGAATAAAATGGCTTGTATAGAAATGTCTATTTTATTGACCCTCTCAAGAAGGACTCCTGAAGCCACTCATCTCAGTCCAGGCCCAGAGGATGACTGGGAAGGAGGGGAAGAAAAGGGGACTATGGTTTTTTAAACCCAAAAGAAAACACCCCCCACAACCTATCTCCCCAAGCCCTGTGAAAGATTTCAAAAATCTCACTCCTAACTTTAGAGAAGCCAGAAGAATAAAATGGCTGGAACATTAAAGGAAGATGTGTGGTTGGGCTGGCAAATTTTAAGCAATTCCCTGCTGTCCTTGCCAGGTCAGTGTGTTCCTGGTTGACTGTTTTAAAATCACTGGAAGGGTACAACTCACCCAAGCTGGACCTGCTGCCAAATGGTCCATCACCACCCTCGGTGACACTGCTCAGAAAGTGGCTGCTGAAATCCACAGCCTTGCTGAGGTAAAGGTTCTGGGCAACAGAAAAAACATAGGCACTGTGATTGATGAGGCTGCTGTATCCCCACAGGAATGCTCTCCCTGCTAACCTGTTCTTCTCTTCATTAACGACCACTCTGTCTACACATATAGTCAAGCCGGAAGCTGGACATCCCCTCACTGGGACATTTTGTCTGTTCTGTCTCTTAAGTGGCTCCTCAGCCTGGCCCCTCCTTTCTGTCATTATAGCCACAGCCCCCTCTTCATACACCAGGATCCCTGCAAGGGATTCCCAACTGGCTCCTGCCAGCCCACCCTCCACGTGGGTTGCTCCAGTCACCTTTCTACAATTTATATGTAATGGTGTTCTTCCCCTACTTCAAACCCTTCCATGTCTTGGAATAAGGGTGGCAAGATGGGGAAGCTCAGGCTACAGAGTTTGAATCCTGGCTCTCTCACTTATTAGCTCAGGGACCTTGGAAGAAGGTAGCTAAATTTCTCTGTACCTCAGTTTCTTCACTTGTAAAGCGGAAATATCATGGCCTACCTCAAAGGGATGTTGGGAAAGTAAAACAGGGAAAATGGAGGTCTATAAAATTAGGATAGATGATGCACAGTCCAGACCTGGAATTCTGATTCCACCTGGATCAATTCCACAGCGTGGCATCCTGTCCCACCCCCACGTGGCTGCCTCTCCCACCACAGGGAACCACCTGCTACTGCCTGAACACTAGAACATACAGGCTAAGAAAAAACATATTAAACCTGGGGATAATTACTCCACTTCTACCTGATAGAGTGTTGTAGATGCTCTTGGTGTCCACCCAGTCCACTAACTGATTAGCATATCCCTCCCAGCTGCCGGGCAGGCTGCTAACACCTCACAGCTAGCCAACTGCCTCTACAGATGGGTGCTGTCTTGCTCTAGAGGCTACATCCTTCCTTTCCTTGCCTCACCTGGGACAACTTCATGGTGTGAGCCACACTTCAGAGCTCCTCATGGATGAGGCTGAAACTAGACTTTATGTATGACCACTCAGCCCCTTCCCCTACCTTGACTCATGTCCCTCACTCCCCTTCTGCTCATGTACCTCCCTGACCCAAGTTCTACTGCAGCCACACAACTGAAAACATGGCATTCAGTGCTTGACTTGACTTCAAAACACTTTTGTGTGTGTCAGTGGACTGCATTTTCCCAGCCTCTGAGTTAGGCAGAGCCCATGTGTCTGTCCTAATTTTCAAGACACCGCTAGTCCCCTGATGGGTCCATGGTCAGGGCCTGATATATACTAGTCCCCGTGCTTTTCCTTGCCTTCTTTACCCATCTTCTTAATCCACTCCTTATTCTTTTGTATATTCTGACTTCTTGTCCAGTGAAACTACAGCTGCCGGTATGAATCAATCAATGTTTGTCACACACTACAGGCACTGTAGCAAAGTTCCAGTCACCATATGAGAGGGCAGATCAAGGGAGGCAGAGCCACAAAGTTTGGTTTATTTCTTATAGGTAAATAGGTGAAAGTACATACAGGCAAACATTTTTGTCAGTCTTTCACCTATACTCAGACTTTGGTGAGTATAAGTATGCCTGAGAACCAAAGGACTGATAGGGTGGGTAATAATTCCTGTTCTTACTACATCCTTATGTGCCTGAGACCTGGCTTCTCTGAGGTTCAGTACAGTTACTTATCTATTTCTATGAAATTATTGGCCTTTAGCCAAGTCTTATAACATTTGGAATTTATGCCTTCTATGGATTTCACAGAAGCACTTTGATAGAGTGTAAGCTATAATTTACTAGTTTGGTCAATTTTCAAATGAATAGCTTCTAAAGGTTTTACTCACTTTGTTGGATACTTGAATATAATTCAGCCGGATGCTAACTTCATAGCCATCTTCATGGACAGTAGCGGAGAGAAGCTTTTAAAAAAGCATTAGAGAGAATTCACAACCACGCACATGGGCTTAATGTGCTGAGCCAAGAAATCCTGAGATGTTAAACAGTAAATTTAATCAAATATTTAATGAACTCAAAAGAAGACAAGAAAAGAAAAACAAAGGAACAAAAGCTAAGTGAAATAGAGTATAAGTAGCAAAATAGCAGACACAAATCCAGCCATATCTACAATTCTATAAATTGTAAATGAACGAAATTAACGTTCCCATCAAAGAGCAGAGACTGCCAGGCTGGATAAGAAAGCAAGACACAAATTTATCCTCTCTAAAGAGACACACTTTAAATTTAATCAAGCACCTGGCTGGATGTCATCACCTGGGTGTCCTGAGGGACCAGGCCTTGGCAATCAAGGGCCAAGTTTCATAGTTGAGCAGCTTTCTCTGTAAGTAGCCAGAGGAATTTCAATCAAACAGGGGTCAGCAAATGCTTTAAGGATCAGAGAGTAAATATTTTAGGTTTTGTAGGCTATATGGTGGTTGCCATTGTAGCATAAAAGCAGTTATGGACCATGAGTAAATGAATGAGTGTAGCCATGATCCAATAAAACTTGATTTACAAAACTGGGTGGCAGGCCTGATTTGCCCCACACGCCATAGTTTACAGACCCCTGGGTTAGGCCAAAGAATGAATAAACCACCAAAATAGATTATCAAAGGAAACTGAACAGTACTTGACAATGAAATAGCTTCAATGTCGGCCTATTTGGTGGCAGAGGATCAAACAGGCTGATTTTCAAAGGTTCCTTCTAGTGTCATACAAACGGAAGAAGAGATCTTCCCATAGAGCTCTTTATAATGATGGTGTAATTCTAGAGAAAAAGCTTGGGACTCAGGGTCTGACAGACCTGCTTCAAATCCTGAATACCCCGAGACCCATCAGCGCAATCCTGGGCAGGTCACCAAACTTCTCTGAGCAAGTTTTCCTGGGTGTCAAATAAGGCTTGTTCGGATTATCTACTGCAGTGTAAAAAAAAAACACTAACTTAGCGGCACTAAACAACAACCATTTTATGAAGTTTGTGGCTTCCAACAGGGTACAGCAGGGATAGACTGTCTTTGCTCCATGCGTCTGACACCTCAGCTGGGAAAACTCAAATCGCTAGAGGTGGCTGCATGTTTGGAGGCTGGAACGACGTTTTCTCTCATCACTCATGTGCCTGGCTCCTGAGCCAGGATGACTCAAGGACTAGTTGCAGCTACGGCTGCAGGGGTGCACCTACATGTGGCCACTCCATGGGGCTTGGGCTTCTCACGGCAGGGTGGCTGGGCTCCAAGAAGGATTGTTGGAGGGGAGCATGCACAGTAAGACAGGAAGCAGTGTGGCCTTGCAGGACCACACCTTAGGAGTCCCATAGCATCACTGCCACCACACTCTGTGAGCCCCACTGCCACAAGCCCGCCCACATTCGAGGTGAGAAGACACTGACTCCACTCTTTGAAGGGAAGACTACCAATGAATTTGTGGCCATTAAAAAAAAAAAAAAAACTGCTGCAAAAGTAATATTCCTACCTTGTAGGTTTGTTATGAGCGCTAGAGACTGATGAACACAATGCACACAGTGAGTGCATCAGGAAATGGCAACTCTTATGATTACTATTGCTGCTAATATGGACTGGATTTAAGTGCACAATTTGGCAAGACTAAACTCTTCTGGGTTTTTTAGCTCTGAGCACCAGAGTCACCATAGCATGTGGGATCTAAAAGCATGGAATGTTCACAATTTACATCTTATAGGTCAGGTGCCCAGAAGCAGACTCGGAGACAAGGCTCGTGTGCAAGTGATTTGTTAAGGCAGCGCCTGCAGGGGAGGACATAAGGAAGAGTGGAAAACAGGACAGGAAAGGGAAAAGAGCCAAGCAAAGTGCAGTCTCAGGTGAAGTCAGTGGAGGGGACCTGCAGCCTGATCCCATGGGACTCTCTGGAGTGGAAATTCCAAGCAGAGCTCACCCACCTTTCCCATTCTGGGTTCTGCGATCAAGGCCCGGAATTCAGGGTTGTTCTGAGCATAAGACCTGAGGTGGGCAGAGATATGATCCAACTGTTTTCTCCAGTATCCTAAAGAAAAAAAGAAACCCATCCTCATGGGTAACTCTTCTGAAGCCAAGAAAGAAAAATGTTCCTGTGCAACATGCATTCTCAGGTTATTTCTCTTTGCCAAACTTTGTGATGGTTTTTACTTACTGAACCTCAACTAGGTATCAGAATAAGTTCCATTTTTGCTCCCAGGTTTATTTTTTACACATGACTAATCACAGAATAGTACAGAATCTCAAAAAAATGTATATTTTGATGGACACACATGGGGTCTTTTTCTTTTATTCGTTTAAAATTAATCATATTGAGGGGCACCTGGGTGGCTCAGTTGGTTAAGCATCTGCTCAGGTCATCATCTCAGGGTCCTGGGATTGAGCTCCACATCGGGCTCCCTGCTCAGAGGGAAGTCTGCTTCTCCCTCTCCCTCTGTTCCCCCCATGCTATCACTATCTCTCTTTCAAAATTTTTAAAAATAAATAAATAAAATTAACCATATTGAGATATAACTTTTAAGTGTACAGTTTGATTTTCAGCAAGCATATATATCCCGATCAATATGAAGGACACTTCCATCACTCCAGAAAGCTCCCTTGTGCCCATTTGTCGTCTGCACAGGGTTTAAAACGCATTTGAATTCAATCATTGCCACCACTTAACACTTGGGAGATTTTGCATGAGTCTGGATTTCTGGTTTCTCATGTGCAGGCAGGAGATGCATTTATAGGAAATGTCCAGAACAGGCAAATCCATCAAAACAGAAACAAGATTCATGGTTGCCAGGCACCTGGGAGAGGAGATGTGGGGCATGATTGCAAAATGAATACTGGGTCTACTTTTGGGGTGATGAAAATATTCTGGACATACAGAACGGTGATGCTTCTATACTGCTCCTAACGGACTGAATATCACTAACTATACGCTTTAAAATGGTTAAAATGGTGAATTTTGTTATGTGAATTTTAGAATGGTAAAAGGAGAAAGATAATGGTAGATAACAATAATGACACAGACTAACAACATTTCTACTGTAATGACAGCAATCCATACATGCTATTTGATTTACAGACTAGACAATGGAGCTATGAATCAAAACATCAGAGTACTGGGGCGCCTGGATGGCTCACATGGCTCTTGATTTCGACTCAGGTCATGATCTCAGGGTCCTGGGATTGAGCCCCATGTCAGGCTCTGTGCTCAGTGGGGAGTCTGCTTGCGGATTCTCTCTCCCCCTCTCTCTGCCCCTCCCCTTCTCTCTCTCTCTCAAATAAATAAAATCTTTTTTTAAGAATTAAAAAAAATTAAAACATCAGAATACTACAAGTTTAAGAGCTATAACATGAAGGAAAATTACCTAAAGAAAAACAATGGAATTTATTTCTTATGTATAGAAATAAATCTAAAGGAAGAAAAAAATGCAATTTTCTTTCCAAGAAAGAGGGAGTTCCCTACTGACAAAGTGTATCTTTTCCCCTCACCTCTTCCTGGGCTGACAGCTGTGAGGAGAGGTTTATGGTCACTCATCTTCTCCTGCCTCTGCTTCTGAGAAGCCATTTCCTGTTCCTTTTTGGCTAGTAGCGTGCCAGATGGGTAGAATAGGCCAGCAGTCTGTGTGCCCACGTCCTTCCGAGTCTCAGCATTAGGTCTGGGTAAAGGAACATTTAGGGACTGCCAGGCAGATCGGGGCTATGAGCAAGGCAGAAAACATAAAATACTAGAATATGATTTAATTAATTCTTCATATTACTTATAGAAAATAATTCTAATCAGAAGTAAACATATCTCCAAGAAACTGTACTTTGAACTAAAAAGAGGTTTTCAGCCCTTGCTTCACCTTCCTTGCTTCTGTCTCTCCCAGCAACTCCCATTCTGATCTATAAAACCAGCCTTATCTGCTTGGCCATTTACTATATCAAATTCGACCAACCGAACTGATATTCTCTGCCTTGCTGCCCAAGGCTTGAAAGAAATCTAATCTCTCAGTTCTACAACTCAATAGAACATAAACTTCACTACTCATCCACAGTCAACCACTAGTCACCAGTATTTCTCTGAGATACTCCTTCATCTGGATGTGGGGACTTGAGAGGACCATCATGTAACGTTATGTAGGTTGTGCACTGCACAACATCACTGCATCTAAAGGGATACCATTCACATGGTGAGCATTATATATTTGCATATTCATTAGGACAATTTTTCTGGTAGATGGAAGAAAATGTCTTTCTAACAAAATTAGTATATTAAAAATCAATTTCCAAAAGATTGCAGTCAAATGTCTTGAGGAAAGAACCCTTTGTCTCACTTGCATATGGTTCTATATGGGCTACTGGCAGCCCCAGGATCCATAAGTCTCAGTCTGGGTTAAGAAGGCCATGACCTCCCTAAAAATGAAAGCAAAGTTGCTGAGTGCATGTGCATTCTCTTTAATAACTATCAATCTTCAAATTCTTCTAATGAAGAGCTAGAAAGAAATCTGAAAAGCCTTTATGTAGCTTAGAGAAATTTATAAAAGGCTAATGCCAAGCTTGTTAGAGATTAAGTCCTTCTGAAGATAATCCTGTAAGATTTTCCTCAAACTGTGCGCTGTTGTTATAAATGGCAAAAGCAATTTCATATGCTTGATGTAAGTTTTCTAAAATATAAAAGAGCAGGAGCAAAGTTCCTGGCAGGCTACATAAGAAATTCATGAAGTATGTCTGTCTCAGGGCGCCTGGGTGGCTCAGTCAGTTAAGTGCCTGCCTTCCACTCAGGTCATGATCCCAGGGTCCTGGGATGGAGCCCCGTGTCTGGCTCCCTGCTCAGTGGGGAGTCTGCTTCTCCCTCTGTCCTTCCCCTCCCTATCCCCCCCCCGCTTGTGCTTCTCTCTCTCTCTCTCTGTCTCTCAAATAAATAAATAAAATCTTTAAAAAAAAAAAAAAAAAAGAAGTATGCGTCTCATGTATTTTAAATCCATTTCTCCCTCATGACATTGTATTGATTTCCATTATTTATATTAGTCTTACAAATGCAATTAGACCTCCATCTACTATAGATAAATCTTTGAATTCTGAAGAAATCACTCGAGTGTTTAAAGCCTAAATTGATCGAATTTATTTACACATCTAGTTGAAAATCCAAAGGAAAGGTCTACATGTTTCGGCTGTCTTTCCCCGGGTTGATCCACAAGGTGGAGGAAACAAATTCAGTCTTAAGCTCGTCCCCCTGGCACCAGTGCTTCCTACAATGGAGGCCTCACCTCAGCAAAAGGGCCAAGTTCTCCAGCAGCTAGAGCCAGGCTGTTGTCCAGGCTAAGTCTTGCCAAGGACTTCACATAAATACCACAGGAACCACAGAATCGGGCAGATGGGTGATTGCTGGCCCCACATTTAGGGCAAACAGAGTAGCAAGCAGAAATGCCTGGCTAGAGGACAGAAAATATTATTACACTTTCATAAATATTGGAGTCTTAATTTTCCCACGTAAATTATTCTCATACCATACAATCCCCAGCCATCAAAATAACATATGCCTATACCCCTGATCCTGCAAGTCTACCTTCTAGAACTTATTCTCCTGATGGACAAGTACACAAAGAAGTATATTTAAGACCATTCCCTGCAGGATTGTGGTTTTAGAGAAAATAACTGGAAAACAACCTAAATGTCCAGCAATAGGGGATGGCTTAAATGTATCATGATACATACAGATGGCGGTATGTTATAGAGCCACTGAAAAGAATGAGGAAGTTACTAACAAGGTACATTGCTAGGTGAAAGGAACAGATTTAGTGTTTCTATGAAACTACTAGTTTACTTAATAATGCACTGAATGGCTCAAAGAACACACACACTAGGTGATTGCTTCTGGGGATAGGCGCTGTGGGCCTGGGATGAGAAGGGAGATTAATCCTTCACAGGAAACGTGCTGTATTATTTACATGGGACACTTATTCAAAGAAATGACTTTAAGTGTTTCATTAAAAAGGTAAGGGGTGCCTGGTAAAGGCTCAGTGGGTTAAGCATCTGGCTCTTCATTTCAGCTCAGTTCATGATCTTGGGGTCCTGGGATCGAGCCCCATGTCGGGCTCCGGGCTCAGTGGGGAATCGGCTTGAGGATTCTCTCTCTCCCTCTGCCCCTCCCCCACTGGTGTGTGCTCTCTCTCTCTCTCTCTCTCTCTCAAGATAAGAAGACAATTCATAAAAGAAGAAATACCAAGAGTCAATAAATGATTGAAAAAGTTTAACCTCAAAAAAATGCAAAGCAAAACAGCAATAACAGAGCTTTCTCAATTTAACAGAATCCATTATCTCTGCCCCCAGATTCTTAGGTAAATAGGTGCTAGTACTCAAATCCCAAGAAGTGATTTCTGCAAGGCAGGGGAAGAGGAGGAACTGTCCATCTCTAGGGTGGTGGTGAGGCCTCAGCACCAAGAAGCTCAGATTTAAAATACCCACCGTGGATCCACACCAGTCACAGAAGCAAGCTTCCCGGCGATTCCTGCGACCATACTTGGAGAAGGAAATGGTCTCCCCTTTCTGAGTGGGCAGAGGAGAGGCTTTATCTCCACTGCGCATGGGCTGGGGAACACAATGGCTTTTATCAATAGGCAGATTAATACTATATTCTGCAATCTCCCTCTGAATCCAGGGGAAAAAAGCTCCAAATCATTGCAAACCCTGGAATAAGGTATTTTCGCCCCAAAGAGTAAAACTACGATGAACTTCACCAATTAATAAATTCGTACAAAGAAGACATATTCTGCAAGTTGATGAAACTGGTGCCTCATGCATCTTGATATTCCTCAGTATCTTTAATACCAAACGTAGCAAGCCTACCATTGATTTACCATAACGATATTTATAAAGAAAGAATGTAAGCAGACTGTCACAACTGAGGTTTATCTTCTTTCCTTTAGGGCTCTGGTTTCCATCTAGAAATGTGAATTTATTTTCCACCCCTGACACATGAAAAGAATTATTTTATTTTAGGGAGAGAGAGAGAGAATTGTTTCGTGAGAATTTCTGAAACTTTGTGAGGTAGGCCTGGATTCCTGCTACTTCCTTATTGCCTAGGAAGAGATTTTCTCATTGAACAAATGAGGATGAGAGTATTCGTCACTGCTATGTGATCACCTACTATGTGCAGGCACATAGTGCTGAGCACTGTCCTGCTAACCTCGCATCAAACCACAGGACAGACCTGTGAGGTGGGTGCCATCGTTACTTGTGTTTTACAGAGGTTGGAAACTGAGGCATGGAGAAGGCAAGACTCAAGATTTGACCCCAGGTCATCTGATTCTAAAGCCTGCCCTTTATCTATGGCTCCATGCAGCCTCTCCAATATAAGAGTCTCTTCACAGGTCTGTAGGCAGGGTTCAGATGGTTCATGGCAATTAAACATGGAGGGATGCTTACCATAGGGTCAGGCTCCATATGTCAGCTTCCCTCCTTGCTCTTGCTTTCCACTAGATCCTGATTTCTTTAAGAGAAAGGACTATACTTCACATTTTTCCCCCACTGACACAGTACCTTGAACCTTGGCACATCAGAGTTATGCAAATGGTTACTGAGTGAATGAATCAATGAATAACTGATACAATTGATAACAACACATATCTCACGCACAACACTAAGAATGTGCACACTAGGGAAGATGTTTTCTAAGGACCATTTTTCATCCAAGATTGATATTTTAGTCAACTTTATTTGCCTAGCTATATCCTGTTTTACTTCAGGGACTGTTTTGTTATCCTAAAACAGATATCTATCCAGAAAGATAAAACGAAGATCTCTGTTTGTAGAGGCTTACCCTTACCCCATTTCTGTGCAATTAGTGAGAGACTCCTTGGGACAAATCAAGAGAGAAATGCTTTCCAACTTTTGCTTCAGACTTAAATTTCAAATGTATCCTCCTGCTACAACAGGGTTTTGATATAAAATTTGCTGACCTGGGTTTCTAAATATAAAGACTTCAGATCTTTTATTTAAATGCATCTACTGTTGGGGCGCCTGGGTGGTTCAGTCGTTCAGCATCTGCCTTTGGCTCAGATCATGATCTCAGGGTCCTGGGATCGAGCCCCGCGTCAGGCTCTCTGCTCAGCAGGGAGCCTGCTTCTCCCTCTCCCACTCCCCCTGCTTGTGTTCCCTCTCTCACTGTGTCTCTCTCTGTCAAATAAATAAAATCGTTTAAAAAAAAAATGCATCTACTGTTCAGGGTGCCTGAGTGGCTCAGTTGGTTAAGCATCCAACTCTTGATTTTGGCTGAGGTCATAATCTCAGGGTTGTGAGATTGAGCCTGCATCCGGCTCTGTGCTCAAAGCAGAGTATTCTTGAGATTCTTTCCCCCTTCCCTCTCCCTCCCCCTCTGCTCCTCCCCCTGTTTATGCCCCCTCTCTCTCTCTCAAATAAATAAATACATAAAATCTTTTAGAAAAATAAATGCATCTACTGTTCAAGTGGATTTTTTTAAACATAACATTGCTTTAAAGAAAGAAAAGGTATTTTATTCCATTCATATTAACGCTGCTAAACAAAGAAAAGACATAAGCTATCAGACTGAATACACATTGTTACTTCTATGGCACTTCAGTGATATATACTCTCATTGCGACATCCAAACTCTGATACACCATTCAAAGAGAAATCAAATCCTGAAAACAAATTCAATTTTATAATTGTTCCTGAAACAGTTTTGCTGATAAGTGAGACCCAGAGACAACTACATCCCTGACAGGTAATAACGTCAATTTCAGTTGCACATACTCCTATTCCTTCACTTTAAATACTCCAAATAGGCTGGCAGAAAATCCAGAAGTGGGTACCTACCATGTTCTCAGTTTCAAACAACAGCATGGCCCAGTCAGTAAAGACATACCTGACCGTGAATGAAATACAAGTGGGTCTACTTCTCTGCTGGCTGCCACCAGCCTTCTGTGCAAAGTTATTAAATGAAATTGTTAGAAATTGCTGATTTTATTGAATCCCCCTTAAGACTTTGAAAACTATTTTGTATTGGTGAATATATAAAGTCCTCTCCACATTTAGAAATATTGCCTTCAGTGTGTCTCTCCAACCTCCTACTTCTTCCCTCCTCTGCAGATTATATTTCTTCATTATTATTGAAACTGGACATTTAGCAGCCACCAAATAGACGCCTAGTCCATGCTGTCAACCTACCTCTTGAAATGAAGGCAGGGCCCCCTCACAGGTGACACAGTATTTTAGGTGAGCTGGATTCCCTGTGCCACAGGTGCGGCAGACTACTTTCTCCTTGAAAACAAAGAATGAGAAATACATTTTTCTCTGAGCAAACAACCGTGCAAAGAAATCATCAAGCAGTCTTTTCAATCAGCCAGCTATGGACCCTATTTTAACACCCAGACCCTGAAACTGGATTGGTTTAGGAATGATTACAACATAGTGTCAGACAAAAATCGTTTTAAAAGAAACTCTCCCCCCCGCCCCGCCCAAAGAAACAAAACTCAAAATGAACAAACTGAAAACAGGTATTCATTTGGTCTCAGAAAGGCAAATAAAAAATTTTGCACTGATTATGTATAAGTATTTACTTTTTTTCCCCCCAGTGGAAAACATGATAGTAGGGTCTTCATCTCATGGCTTGAACAATAAACAGAAAAGTCCAAGACTAGCAAAAGCTTATCTATGTGTTTACAAGTCATCTTGTAAACAGCCCATGGGGCTTCATGTTAATGAATTTAGGTTTGCTCTATAGTTCCTCACTCAGAAATGCAAAAATGAAAAGACTGTCTTAGAAAATAAATGGTAAGTACAACTTTCCAAGTTAGGAAACTGAGGATAAGTAGCAATAAAGAGAGGAAGGAAGGAAGGAAGGAAGGAGGGAGGCGAGGAAGGGAGGAAGGGAGGAAGGGAGGAAGGGAGGAAGGGAGGAAGGGAGGAAGGGAGGAAGGAATATTAAAATAGTCTAACTAGAGTTCAACTATTAGAGGTTTGCTAAAACCTGTTCAGTCGCTGGACTATTCTGCACTATCAGGATAATATCCCCTTCACTTATCAGTGACACTCAGTGTTCCTTTCTACTCCAGTGCCTACATTTCCCAGGTGTCCTGAAACTGACACCATGTGTTCTGAAGCTGTAGAGGCAAAGAAGACGATCAAGAGAAAGTCCAACTCCCAGGATTATAGTTCCAATGCCACTAGGTAGGCTATGAAGTCCCTGGCCTTTCCAAGTCTGGTTAATTTCACTCCAAGTGAAATTAAACCAAGTAGAAGACTCCAAGTTCTTGCAACTCAAAGAACTCCTAAAGTGCAAATGGCCGACTGACTGCTATTCAAAATAATCAGAATATCACAGACTCGCTCTCTGTGGATCCTGACACTCCCTGGTTCCAGCATTCTTCAAAGTTGCTTAAAGTCTCTGTAGCATAATCTGCAACTGCCAGAGCTTTTCTGTGAGATTTAGGACTGTGGTCTTCCTGGAGACTCAGAAAAGATCTGGTGACACTCAAGACACTCCTTGAGAAGTGAGTCAAATTTCCTGTCCCTGTGTTATAAAAAATACTGAGATCAAACAAAAATAACAAAGCTGTTTGCTGCAGGAAATATTCTGGAAAGACTATAAACCAGTAAGGCTGCTTACTTATTCAGTCCAACAGCTTACCTCAGGATCCTCATGCTGGCAGGTCCCACAATCCAAAATTAGTATATCCCCACATCGTTAATATTTCTGTGTGTGTGTGCATCTGTGTGTGCACGCACATGTGTGTTCACATGCACGTGTAGTGAGAACACCTAAAATCTACTCTGAGCAAATTTCCAGTATACAAAGATGGATATGTTAATTAGCTTGACTGCAGTAGTTATTTCACTATGTACATGTATACTAAAACATCATCACCTTAAACATATAAAATTTTTATTTATTTATTTATTTATTTTGAGAGAGAGAGAGAGAGAGAGAGCAGGGGTGGGGGCAGAGGGAGAGAGAGAATCTTAAGAAGACTCCACACATAGCACAGAGCCTGACGCAGGGCTCAATCTCACCACCCTGAGATCAGATCTGAGTTGAAATCAAGAGTCAGATGCTTAACCGACTGAGCCACCCAGTGGCTAAAATTTTTATTTAAATAAATTATTAAATTTTTTATTTAAATATTTTAAAATTTTATTTAAATAAACTATTTTTAAAGCTAGCATGTCATAACTTTGCCTGATCCAAACTAACTCTGCCCTATCCCAATCCTGCCTTGCAAAACTCCCTTTTAAATTTTTTTTAACTAATAAACTTCATTTTCTAGAGCAGTTTTAGGTTTATATCAAAACTGAGCAGAAATTACAGGGAGTTCCCATATACTTACTCCCTGTTCCCACACATACACAATCTCCCTGACTGCTGACATCCCATACCAGGATGGTACTCTCGGTACAACCAGTGAACCCACATGGACACATCATTATCACCCAAAGTCCATAACTGACCTTAGGATTCACTCTTGTCAAACTCTCTTTTTAAAAAATCACCCAAATGCATCACTAAAACCCTATAAACACCTTTCCCTGCCTTCTCTCTTCTGAGATACTATCAAGACAGTCAAAGTGGCAGTCTACGTACTGTTTCAAGTCCAGTAAACACAGCCTTCTTGGCCAACAGGCATTTCTAATGGTTTTGTTGGTGACTTTTTGACACCATGTCATGGCTTACGTCCTTGAAGAGCAGTGACCATGACCCACAGATAGAAATAATCTTACGTCACAATCACTACACTCATAGACGTCCATAGGGATGACCTGAGATTGAGGTCACTATCAGACTACCTTAAAGAAGATGCTAAACATCTGTGATGAGGACCTTTTTTTAAAAAGTCATTACCCTCTGGCACCTAGGTGGCTCAGTCAGTTAAGCGTCTGCCTTTGCCTCAGGTTGTGATTCCGGGGTCCTAGGATTGAGCCCCATGTCTGGCTCCCTGCTCAGCGGGAAGTCTGCTTCTCTCTCTGCCTCCCCACCTTGTGCTCTCTCTCGACCTCTCTCTCTCAAATAAATAAATAAAATCTTTAAAAAAAAGTCAATACCCTCATATGCTGGGGCGCTTGGGTGACTCAGTCGCTGAGTGTCTGCCTTCGGCTCAGGTCATGATCCCAGGGTCCTGGGATCAGGCCCCGCATCGGGCTCCCTGCTCTGTGGGAAGCCTGAGTCTCCCTCTCCAACTCCCCCTGCTTGTGCTCCCTCTCTCGCTGTCTCTCTCTCTGTCAAATAAGTAAATGAAATTAAAAAAAAAACCCTCATTTGCTACCTTATCCATAGCACTTGCAGTGTGTCTAGTTGAATGGTTCTAAGCAATTTAGTGGACCCAACTTATTTATTGGGGTAACATTTTTCCTTACAGAGTAGTTGGGACATAAGAACAATTTTCTAATCTCCCAAATGATAAGCTCTGACAAAATGAAGTGCAGAAAATGTAGTAGGTCATTGCAAACTTCATCTCAAAGTGGATTTTGTAAGTTACCAAGCTAAAGTTCTGCTTGATGCAGAGTTGTGGTTACACTGGCTTTAGCCCCAAATCACTGTGTGAGAGGCAGGAGTCTCATAAGGAGGTAATTGCCCCAGTCACGTCTTTTTCAGTAATGACTTCAAGAGGATCCCAGCCCTAAGCCTGTCAGATTCTAGGAACCCAATATGACTGGAGACCTGGGAGTATACTATATGTGCTAGTTAGAGCCCAAATGAAATTGATGATCTCTTGGTAAAGGAGAATTCATGTGTTCTTGTGAAATGAGAGATGCTCAAATTAATTTTAAACTTTAGAAAATGGCCAATGGAATACATTTGTTTAAAAACCAAAACAAAACTTGGGACACCTGGGTGGCTCGGTCGGTTGAGCGTCCAACTCTTGGTTTCAGCTCAGGTCATGATCTTGGGGTGGTGAGACTGAGCCCTGCCTCGGGCTCCTTGCTCTGCAGGGAGTCTGCTCGAGATTCTCTCTCTCACTCTGCCTCTCCCTCTGCTCCTCCCCTCCACTCACACGTGCTCTCTCTCTCTCTCAAATAAATAAATAAATCTTTTAAAAATATAAATAAAACCCAAAACAAAACCAAATCTAAATGTGTGAATACATATGCATGTTTCTGTGCATCCAGAAAAATACATAGAAGGATATTCACTATCATCAGTTATTTCAGGAGGATAGAAATAGAGGTGGGTGGGGAAATTATGCACCTCTTTGTATATCTTTAGGACTATTTCACTTGTTACAAAAAATTAGAGAATTTTTGAAAGTGCAAAATCCTCTTTTCTCCTGAAATACAGGCACCTGTGCCAGAGAGTAAAAGGAAAAACTTCTGCTACTATAGCTTCCAATCCTGGCAGCAAAAAAATATATATCTGATAGAGCAAAATTCCTCAGCTTTGACACGGCCTTTAAATCAACAGAAGAGGGCCCCTGGGTGGCTCAGTTGGTTAAGCGACTGCCTTCAGCTCAGGTCATGATCCTGGAGTCCCGGGATCGAGTCCCGCATCGGGCTCCCTGCTTGGCGGGGAGTCTGCTTCTCCCTCCGACCCTCCCCCGTCTCATGTGCTCTCTCTCTCTCTCTCATTTCCTCTCTCTTTCAAATTAATAAATAAATAAATCTTTAAAAAAAAATAAATCAACAGAAGATAAGTCGGCACCAGTGGTTGGTAGGAAGAGGATGGATGGTGCTTTGTACGCTATGTGCAGTGAGATGGAGACCAACACAGAAACAGCAAGGAAGGTCTTCAGCAGGCCCTGCTGGTGCCTTGGGGAAGGTAAGTCTGTTGGCTTCTGCGAACAACAGGTGTTCCCACTGACCTCGGAGGTGCCTCTCTGGGTGAGAATGTTATCTAAAAATCTATCCCCATGTAAGACCTGGGAAAGCCACTGGGATAAAGATTCTCAGCCCAGGGTTTCCAAACAGGTATCCTTCTGTGAGTAGAAGCAGCAATACTGATTGGCCATAAAAATCAGGCATCAGGCATTTCCCTTCAACATCAGATGTCTTGATGATAAAAGTCTAAAAAATCAAGTCTGATTAAATCCTGTCCCTGCTTTCAACCGTTCAGCGTGCACTGGGAGAAATCGGAGCTGCTAAGTACAGTAGAGAAGGCGCCATCTTGCACAGCCCACAGCACCTCCAGCATTTCTGCCGCTCAGCAAAACCAAACTGCTTACAAAGTTTCCAGTCTCTGTACATCTTCCTGGAACACCCTCTCCCCCTGACCTCCCACACATACACATGAGCAACTTTTCTTTGTCCCATTTCTTCCCCATCTGGCAAGTGCTTGTGCCTCCCACAATATCCATCAGATGACACTCCATTTTCAAAGCTATCCCTGGCCCCGGCCCCTGAGAAGAGTTAGCGAATTCTTCCTCTGTGCCCCCACCCAGCCACCCACACACCAGACTGCTACCTCCACTGCTGCAAGTGTGGGCAGGATCAGGGGCAGTGGGTCTAGGGATCAGAGTCCAGGGAATGTAGGGTGCAGAGGCCCAGAGAGTGGTCCAGGAAGCAGCATGCTGGGAAAAGTCACATCAAAGGTATCTTTGAAAAATCCCCTCAGTACCTGAGGGTTCAAACTCGAGGTGTAAGGCAGAACCCAGAGAAATAGGGTGAAGCTGAAGGAAGGTTCATGGCTGCACCATCATGAGGGATGCCAGACTAGGCCCGAGTACCTGTGAATCCTAGAGGCCGGGCCTAGAGACCACTCCTTCCTCAGACCCCTTCCCTCGATCTTCCCTATTCAAGGAACCCTAAAGTGGGTATCCAGAGACTATTCCTCAGGTTCATACCACTCCCTGCTCCATCCATCTAACAAAACAATTAGTAAATTTTCATCTACCTGATCCTGGCCTGGCCAGGTCTTCAAAGTCTCATTTCTGAAGGCTTACATTGTTTGGAATACTTAAAAACCTTTCAGAGTGAAGGGAAGTTTGGAGGTAAAAGAAAAAGTGGATGTCCCCTTTCTCTCATAAACTTCAATACAGTTTGCTCATATGAAAATCCACAAAGTCGTTTTAGGAGTATTACAGTTCCAGTTGTACATTAAATCCCATATTGCTAAAAACTCTTGCTTTTTTATGTCTCAAATTCTAAATCTATTTTTCCTTTAGTGACATTTACTTGAGATTAAAGAGAAAGTGAATGGGCCTGTAAACTGAAAAATGGGGAAAAGATACAGTTGTACATTCAATGATTCTACCAAAAATATCTTCTTGGTATGACATTGTCTAGCAATGTTTTCTGAATATATATGATGATGATTCTTAACTTTTTCTTTTTTTTTTTTTGATACTTAACTTCTTCATCCATGTGATCGGCTATAATCATTCTTTTCTACATAACAGAGATCCATAATCAAATAAAAGCATAAAACAACTTTAAGGACAAGATGAAAAGTTCTTAACTGCAATATTAATTGCAATGTTGAAGTTTAAATATATAAGGTAAAAAACTGTCTAAGTTAGTTGTATGCATTTTGCCCTCCAAATCCATGTTTAGGGAACACATTTCTATGTATCTCTCTTAACAATTATAGATCCTATTGCCAGGTAAAATTCTTGGGCAGCATGCCTTCCCAAAAATTAAGAGTGGATTTTGTTCACAGATATTAGTTTATCAGTTGTTCACCAACTGCATCAGCTGAAGACATTTAACAGCTTACATATCACTTTCTATATATTTTATTCATGTTTTTACAGAATCACATTTCATTACCTTCAAGCGGAGGCTGGCCTGTGGCTGCAGCTGTAGGATAAGAGAGGCCTCACACACCACACAGATGGGAGTGTTCATGGGCACCATGTTTCCACACTCTGCACATAAGCCCATCTGCACAAAGAAAGAGGTTTGTCTTGGGATGCCAAACCTGAAGGTATAAGTAGATCTTCGAATATAAGATTTAATTTGCTTTTGGGGTGCCTGGGTGGCTCAGTCAGTTAAGCATCTGCCTTTGGCTCAGGTCATGATCCTGGAGTCCTGGGATCAAGTCCCGCACTGGGCTCCCTGCTGAGCGGGGGGGGCCTGCTTCTCTCTCTCCCTCTGCCCCTCCCCCCACTTGTGCGCACATGCTCTCTCTCTCTCTCTCTCTCTCATTCTCTCTCAAATAAATAAAATCTTAAGAAAAAGATTTAATTTGCTTTTGTAAAAAATGTTTAAAAATAATTACCTTTATTCTTATTTTTTTATATTGTAAGAATATGTTTACTGTGGAAAATAGAAGTGTAAAAAAAAAAAAGAAAAAATATCTTACAGCACAATGGAGTAAGGAAACCCACAAATCCTCTCTCCAAAAAGCAATTATAAATTTGGATAAAACTGTCATTTCAGATTCAAAAAACCATTCCAGATTCTGAAAGTCACCAAAGGCACACAACAAACTGAAAAGTGGTGAATTTCAGATAAGAACACTACAAGTCTATGTGGTTCCTGCTTGAGGCTATACCCATCCTCCTCTAGCTCTGTCAGTGTGGCAGCCTCACTGGGGCAGGAGATGCTGTGAAAACCAGCAGCTTCATAGCTGCTGCTGGGCAGAGGTCACTTGATTTGGAGCACTATTAAGATGACAATCTCAGTGGCAAGAAAACAGGGAGGGCCAGTGGCTGTATGAGCCTGAAATCATCGTCCTGTTTGAGGTAACTAGTCAGGGATTTAACAGAAAGTTCCAGGAGGTAAGTCAAATATAGGGTGCTTGATAAGCTCCCCACATATCTTTAGTTGACTGGAAGATACGCACATGTATAGCATAAACCAGAGTGGGAATAAGCCACTCATACATTGCTGGCTGATGGAGGCTACACATGGAGATGCAAGGGAGTTCAGTATAAAGTAAAAGCTGAGGCAGACTTGAAAATAGCCTGAAGATTGAATGTTTGATCCAGCCCACACATAGATCCATCAGCAGAGAGTGGAAGCCTTACTGGACCAAGTTATTTGAGTACAACTTCTGGCCAATCTTCAGTTGAGCACTAAGCTATGCAGACCCAGGGGTGACCCCAGGCTTAAAAATAAAAACAAGAACAAAAAAACCTGATATCAGGGGCGCCTGGGTGGCTCAGATGGTTAAGCGTCTGCCTTCGGCTCAGGTCATGATCCCAGGGTCCTGGGATCAGGTCCCGCATCAGGCTCCCTGCTCCGTGGGAGCCTGCTTCTCCCTCTGCTTCTCTCTCTCTCTCTCTCCCTCTCTGTCTCCCTCTGTCTCTCATGAATAAATAAATAAAATCTTAAAAAAAAAAAAAACCTGACATCAGTGGCCACACATTTCAGGGGAGACAAACATGAGAAAAAAATTAATCCCAGTAAACAAAAATAAAAATAGCAGAAAAAAAAAGAAAAAGAAAGAAAACATTAGAATCCAGAGTTGTTACAATATATCATCTAAGATGTCCAGAATTAAAAAAATTATGAGGCACACAAAAAACAAGAAAGTGTGACCTAAACTCAGGGAGAAAAAAAACAGTTGATAGATATAGTATCCCCAGATGTTGGATTTACAAAGATTTCAAAACAGCTATTATAAAACTGTTCAAAGAACTCAAGGAAACCATGTTTAAAGGATAAAGAAAGTATTATGGTGATGATTCAAAAAAATAGGGACTCTCAATAAAGACATAGAAATTATTTTTTAAAAAGAACCATATCAAAACCTGGAGTTTAAAATTAAAATAACTGAAATGGGGGAAAAAAAAAAATCTCCAGAGGGACTCCATAGCAGATCAGAGATGACAGAAGAAAGAACTGGTGAACATGAATATGTTCAATAGAAATTTTCCAATCTGAAGAACAAAGAGAAAAAGGATGGAAGAAAATAAACCATCAAACACTTGTAGGACAACATAAAACATATCAACATACATGTAATAGGAGTCTTAGAAGGAAGGGAGAGAGAAGAAAAGGCAAAAAAAAAAAAAGAATTTGAAGAAATAATAGCCAAAAACTTCCCACATTTGAAGAAAAACATTAATCTATAGCTCCAAGAAAATCAATTCCAAGAAAGATAAACAGAAAGAGATCCCACTTAGGCACACTATAGTCAGATTGTTGAATGTCAGAGAAAGAGAAAAGTCTTAAAAGTAGCAAGAGAAAAAACTACTTATCACATACATCAAAAACCATGGAGACCAGAGGTAGGAGAATAATGTCTTCAAAGGACTGAAATTAAAAATAACTGTCAAACAAGGGGCTTCTGGGTGGCTCAGTCTGTTAAGCGTCTGACTCTTGATTTCAGCTCAGGTCATGATCTCAGGGTTGTGAAATCGAGCCCTGCATCAGGCTCCATGCTCAGTGGGGTGCCTGCTTGAGAGTCTCCTTCTACCTCCGCCCTTCCCTTCCCCCTCTCTCTCAAATAAATAAGTAAATCCTTAAAAATAACTGTCAAACAAGAATTCTACATCTAGTAAAATTATCCTTCAAAAGAGGATGCAAAATAAATATTATCAGATAGACAAAGACAGAGAGAAATGGCTAGCAGATGTGCCTTTAGTAAAGGAAGTCCACCAGGCTGAAACTAAGTGACACTAGATGATAACCTGAGTTCACAGGAAAGAAATGAAGAAATGAGAGACCAGATATGAGTACATAAACATTTTTTCTTATCTTTAAATGACATAAGATCATGTAACACTGCATTTTCAGTTTATAACATATATAGATGTAATATATATGATGATATATATTACAGAAAAGATAAATAAATGGGGAGGAAAAGGAGTATGGCTGTTGACCATTGGATAGCAAAGAAGTTCAACTGGGGTGACATAGACCTGAACCGGCAAGCAAAAAGCAAAAAACTGGGTCCAATGAAACCTGTTTGGAAATCTCCCTCTGGGGAGCTGGTAGAACATGCTGGGAAGGCCTGTGCAGGCATGCTCCTATAGCTTGCTGGCAAACTGCCCACTGGGATGCCTGAGGACTATCTGGAAGCTGGCTGGGGTGCCAGTGAAACTCACTGAGAAGCTGTTCATGGGATGTTACCAAAACACAACGGGGCTCAGCACAACTGGGTTCCTGCAGGTTAGCTGAGCACTGTCAGCAAAAAGAGAGGAAAGCATACCAGAACCAGGAAGAAAGGCCAAGTCCATTCTCCTGCAGTGTCCCTCCAGCAGCAATGTTCCTCTACTAACAAAATTAACATCTAGCTAGCTGGCACAGGAGAAATGTTAAAAGGGTCCAGCTCCAGGACCCACGAGGCAGGGCAATGAAGGGTGGATCTGGAGCTGTAAGGTGCACTTCTCCATCTGTTAATGAGACTCTGTCTTGGATTAAGTTTACCATTTGAAATATTTATAATCTTGGGGCACCTGGGTGCCTCAGTCGGTTAAGCCTCTGCCTTCGGCTCAGGTCATGATCACAGGGTCCTAGGATCGAGCCCTGCATTGGGCTCCTTGCTCAGCAGAGAGCCTGCTTCTCCCTCTGCCTGCTGCTCCCCCTGCTTGTGCTCTCTCTCTTTGTCAAACAAATAAATAAAATCTTTAAAAAATAATAAAAATAAATAAAATAATAAAAAATAAAAATAATAAATAAAATAATAAAATAATAAAAATAAAATAATAAAAATAAATAAAATATGTATAATCTTTGATAACTTTTCTTCCCTAAAAGAACAAAGAAAGTTCTGAAAATCTGTTTTCCAGGGTGCCTGGGTGGCACAACTGGTTGAGCGACTGACTCTTGGTTTCAACTCAGGTTGTGATCTCAGGGTTGTGGGACTGAGCCCCACACTGGGCTCTGTGCTCAGCACAGAGTCTGCTTGGGATTCTTTCTCTGCCTCTCCCTGGCCCCATCCCCTGCTCACACTATAATAAAAAAATATTTATTATTATTTATAATAAATAAATAAAGTCTTTGAAAATCTGTTTCCAGGCAAGTAAAAAATAACTTTGACACTGCACCAATGAATGAAAATAAGCCGGGGAAATCCAAACTGCTGGGATCTATTCATAGTTTATTTTCTGTATTATCTTTTTTATGAAGTTCAAAATACATTATAGAAAATTAAATTAACTTCTACAACAATCTTGAGCAATACCTTGGAATAAATTGTAAAAAAGATATCCATTTAGATTCTCACCTTTTGCTTGAAGGTATAACTCAATTCTAGAACTCTAGACTTAAACACACTGAATTAGTGGCTTTTTCTTAGTGACTATCTTTTTAAAGATGGTTATCTTTCAGTCAACATCATAGATCCTTTTATTTCATTTTGTAAACCCTACTCCATAAAACTCCCCAAGTTTCAAGTGCATAAAAGATAACACATTTTGGTGAAGGTTTTGATTTTTAGTAAGCTGAGTATCTTTTCTAACTATAAACTCATTAGTAGGCTTATACCAATTATTATCTACACTTAACTGCCAAAATTTTTTAATAGATCAATCTATAGCTTATACCAATCTTTGGACAAAATGATGTATCTTAAGGATATACCGACTTGTAATTAGTACTTCTCTCCATTTATTTCTAGAATAGAAATATTACTGTACCCAGGTTATAAACTGAGTATCATCTGAGTAGGAAATATATATTTATCTATGCACATATCACTGAAACAAAAAGATTTCAGGGCACCTGGGTGGCTCAGTTGGTTAAGCATCTGCCTTCGGCTCAGGTCATGAACCCAGGGTCCTGGGTTCGAGTCCTACATCAGGCTCCCTGCTCCACGGGGAGCCTGCTTCTCTCTCTCCCTCTGCCTGCCACTCCTCCTATTGTGCGCGCACGCACTCTCTCTCTCTCCCTCTGTCAAATACATAAATAAAATCTTTAAAAAAAAATACAATAGGATTTCAGTATCCTTCTGAGCCTGTGCTTCTGTGAGGCCACCAAAAGAAATGGCATCACAAACAAGGTTTTCCATTTTTAAGTAAGAGACTGGGCAATAAGAGATTAGTCTGCCAGTAATTTTTTCAACAATATTTATGTTTGTGGATCATGAGTGCCAGGTACTATGCTACTGCTCTACTAAAGATCAGATAAACCAATGAAAGAAGTTTTTAAAGATTCTGCTGCTCACCTGAGCTCCTTCTGGGGGTGGGAGACGACAGCCAAATATGGGTGGGACAGGAGAGCCACATTCTTGACAGAAGCGAGCAAAGGGGTCAGATGGGCGGGGGGCCAGGCAGTGGGCACACCTGCAACAAAATAGGTTTCTGATTGGCCATGTTCTGATGGGTTCACATTAAAAAGTCAGATGAAAATCTCCAAGTGTTCAAAAAACATTTTAGAAAATAAACAAAACAAAGAGCAGACCACTCTCAAAGGCTACATGGAACAAGTTCAAGACAGGGGTTGCTTCTCCAGTCATTTTATTACAAAGTGGCCTTCCACCTGGACCCACTGGTCCTTCACCTGGCCTGGCTTACCTTATTTCCCAACCTGTGGCAGAAGTTTATTAGCAGCCTTGATCCCACTTCTGACTCATCCTATGACACTGGATTTGGCGTGGGTGAGGGTGATCCCCGAGAATTCCAGTAAAGTCTACCTTAACTGCAATTTTCTGACTTCCTACCTGACCTCTGAGCTCAGTCTGTGACAGGTCTTGCCTAGAGGAGGACCACGTCTTGACCAAAGAAGATATACAAATGGCCAAGAAACACATGAAAAAAATGCTCAACGTCACTTGTCATTAGGAAAATGCACATCAAAACCATAATAAAATCCACTTTATATCTATTAGGATGACTATTAGAAAAACAGAAAATAACAAGTATTGGTGGAGAAATTGACACCCTTGTGCATTTCTGGTGGAAGGTAAAATGATGCAGCTGCTGTGGAAAACAGTTTAGCAGTTCCTGAAAAAGTTGGGCAAAGAATTACCATAAAATCGAAATTCCAGTCCTAGGTAAATACCCAAAAGAACTGAAATCAGGGACTCAGATACTTGGACACCAATGTTCACAGCAGCATTATTTACAATAGTCAAATGTGGTAACAACTCAAGTGTCCATGAACAGATGAGCAGATAAACAAATTGTGGTATATACATAATGGGGTATTTTTCATCTTTAATACGGAATGAAATTCTGATACATACTACAACATGAGAACTTCGAAAATATTATGCTAAGTGAAGTAAGTCAGACACAAAAGGACAAATATTGTCTGATTCTACTTAATAAGGTAATTAGAATAGGCAAATTCATAAAAACAGAAAGGAGAACAGAGGTTACTAGGGGCTGGAAGGATTAGGTGAAGGAGTTATTGCTTAGTGGGAACTGAGTTCTGTGTGGAATGACAAAAAAGTTCTGGAAATGGATGGTGGTGATGGCTGCACAACGTTGTGAATGTACTTAATGCCAGTGAATTGTAAACTTAAAAATCATTAAAATGGTAGATTTTATTTACGTATATTTTACCACAATAAAAGTGTAAAGGGCCTCAAAAATAATCGATATAAAATAAAAGTAATAATGTAAGGATGTATATGTATAATATGTATAAATACAATAATGTATTATGGGGTTCATAATACTCGTAGAAGTGAAATGAGTGACCACAGTAGCACAAAGGCTGTTGTTAGTCAGCGCCCAGAAGTACAGGATCATGAGGTGCCTGTGGTGTGTACAAGGTGGCCTAATCCTGCTTGAGGATGGGCTGTGATGCATTAAAAATACGTATTAGAAACCCTAAAGCAACCACTAAAAACAAAGTTCTAGCTAATAAGCTAACAAAGCCTATAAAACAAAATGGAATCATGAAACATACCCAACTAATCCAAAAGATGGCAGAAAAAAAGAAAAGGCAACAAGGAACAGATAAGATGAACAGAAAACAAATAGCATGATGGTTGATTTAAATTCAAACATATCAATAACCAGAATATACTCTTAACACCCCAACTAAAATGTAGAAATTGTCAGGTTTTTTAAAAAGCAGGACCTAACTAGATGTTGCTTTAAAAAAAACTTAAAGAAGTGCTCGCTTCGGCAGCACATATACTAAAAAAACTTAAAGAAAAACAGATAGGTTAAAAGTAAAAGGATGAAAACAGACCATGCAAACACTAATCAGAAGAAAGCAGGGGTGGCTGTGTTAATATCAGACAAAATAGGTTTCTTTTTTTTTTTTTCAGACAAAACAGATTCCTGAACAAAGAGCATCACCAGGGTTAAAGAAGGTTATTCATAATGATAAAGGGGTCAACTCAGCGAGAGGACATAAGAATCCAAAAGGTTTATACACAATAATAGAGCTTGAAAGTACATGAAGCAAAATCCAATAGAAAGCAAGGATATGTAGACAAATTCATAATTATAGCCACAGATTTCTCAATCACTGATTAAGCAACAGGTAGAAAAATCAGTAAATATAGAGAAGAGTTAAACAATATCATCAACCAACTTAACCTAATTGACAGTTGCAGAATACTCACCCTAGCAAAATGCACATTCTTTTCAAGTATACATGGAACATTCACCAATCAAATCATACAATATATGTTCTCTGATCAAAAAAGGAATTAAATCTGAAATAAGTACCAGAGGATATAAGGAAAATCCCCAAATATTTGGAAATTTAATGAAATACTTTCAAATAACCCATGGGTCAAAAAAGAAACAACAAGGATAGTCAGAGTTTACACTGAATTAAAATGAAAACACAACAGGGGCGCCTAGTTCAGTCAGTAGAGCATGCGGCTCTTGATCTCAGAGTCGTGAGTTCAAGCCCCACACTGGGCATGGGGTCTACTTAAAAAAATTAAAAATAAAAATGAAATGAAAACACAACATACCAATATTAGGGGCTAACGCAGGACTCAGGGGGAAATGCAGATTCTAAATGCCTATATTAGAAAGAGGAAAGGCTTCAAATGAATGAGTTCATCTTCCACATACTAAAGAAATTAGAAAAAGAAGAGCAGAGGCGCCTGGATGGCGCAGTTGGTTGAGCAAACAGCTCTTGGTTTCAGCTCAGGTCCTGATCTCATCAGGGCCATGAGATCCAGCCCCACGTCCAGCTCCAAACTCAGTGCAGAGTCTGCTTTACACTCTGTCTCCCTCTGCCCCCTGCTCCTGCTCTCTTTCTCTCTCTCTAACAAATAAATAAATCTTAAAAAAAAGAAAGAGAAGAGCAAATGAAACTAAAGTTTTGCTAAAAAAGAAACAGATAAACCTAAACAGACTTACATTTATTAAACAAACTTAATATGTAGTTTAAAGTCTTCCTTAAAACTCTGGACCCCAGTGCCTTCACTGGTGTACCTGACCAAACACCTAAGGAAGAAATAATACCAATTCTTTTCTTTTTTATTAACATATAATGTATTATTTGTTTCAAGGGTACAGGTCTGTGATTCATCAGCCTTACACAATTCACAGTGCTCACCATAGCACACACCCTCCCCAATGTCCATCACCCAGACACCCCATCCCTCCCACCCCCCAATAATACCAATTCTATACAAACTCAGAAAATTAAAGGAGAGAGAACACTTCCCAACTCATTTTGTGAACCCAGAATTACCTTGATACTAAAATCAGAGAAAGACATTGTAAGGCATGAAAACTACAGACCAATATCCCTCATGCACATATATGCAAAAAGTTCTTTATATTTTAGCAAATCAAATTAAATATTACATAAAATAGGGGCGCCTGGGTGGTTCAGTCGTTAAGCGTCTGCCTTTGGCTCGGGTCATGGTCCCAGGGTCCTGGGATCGAGCCTCACATCGGGCTCCCTGCTCCATGGGGAGGCCTGCTTCTCCCTCTCCTACTCCCCCTGCTTGTGTTCCCTCTCTCGCTATGTCTCTCTCTGTCAAGTAAATAAATAAAATCTTTAAAAAAAATAAATAAATATTACATAAAATAGATAATACTTCAAGTGAGGTCTATCTCAGAAATGCATGGTTGATTTAAAACTTGAAAATCAGGGCACCTGGGTGGCTCAGTCAGTTAAGCGTCTGCCTTTGGCTCAGGTCATGATCCCGGGGTCCTAGGATTGAGCCCCACATTGAGCTCCCTTCTCAGTGGGGAGCCTGCTTCCTCTTCTCCCTCTCCCTCTGCCTGCTGCTCTGCCTACTTATGTGCTCCCTCTCTCTCTCTCTGTCAAATAAATAAATAAAATATTTTAAAAAATAAAACTTGAAAATCAGAGGTGCCTGTGTGGCTCAGTCAGTTAAGTGTCTGACTTTGGCTCAGGTCATGATCTTAGGGTCCTGGGATCAAGAGCCCTGCCCCTGGCTCCATGCTCAGCAGAGAGTCTGCTTCACTCTCTCCCTCTGCCCTTCCCGCAGCTCATGCTCTGTCTCTCTCGCTCTCTCAAATAAATAAACAAAATCTTTAAAATAAAACTTGAAAATCAATCTTTGTAATTCACCACATGAACAAAAAAGGAAAAACCATATGATGACTTTAATAGGTAGAGAAAATGCTATAGACAAAATCCAACATCTAGTCCTGATTTAAAAGAAAAACAACCAAAAAACCCTAGGGGCGCCTGTGTGGCTCAGTCAGTTAAGCATCTGCCTTCAACTCAGGTCATGATCCCAGGATCCTGGGATCCAGCCCCACATCTGGCTCCCTACTCAGTAGGGAGCCTGCTTCTCCCTCTCCCTCTGCCCCCCGGCTCGTCTCTCTCACTCTCTCTATCTCAAATAAATAAAATCTTAAAAAAAAAAAAACAACTCTCAGCAAGCTAGGACTAGGAGAAAATTTCCTCAATCTGAAAGGTCAACAAAAAAAATCTACAGCCAATATCATATTTAATGTTAAGAAATGGAATGTTTTCTCCCTAAGTTCAGGAATAAGGCAAGAATGTCCACTCTCATCACTTCTATTCTAAATTTACTGGAAGTTCTGGCCAAGGCAACAAGTCAAGAAAAAAAAGAAAAAAGAAAAGGGACCTGTATATATGTTCCAGCTATAGAGATCAGACTGTTTCGGCTTGCACAGCACCTCAGGAGAGGAAAGAATATATGAATAGGGAATATTGCCATCCAGGTGGCTTTAGGGTCCCGAGGAGTAGAGAAGGATGGCACGGGGGAGGTCTGGATGGATCTAATTTGTGTAGGAGTTCCCCGTAGATAAATTACTGATCCCCCAACTATCATCTCCCAGAATGTAAGGGCTGAATTAATATGTAATCAACTGCACTGTAACTAAGGCAGGTGCACGCCCCACCCAATACCATTTCTTACCCTCTAATCCTACCTGATCTTTAACAAAGCATTAATAATTCTAAGGATAATCTCTATTTTGTTGTGCTTTTTTGTAACTTTTAAATAAATCAGTTTATAGTGGAAGGAAGGAAGGAAGGATCCATGTAGAAAATGAAGAAGTAAAATAATTGCATTTGTACGTGAGGGGGGCCTGGCTGCCTCCATCAGAAGAGCATGCGACTCTTGATCTCAGGGTTGTGAGTTTGAGCCCCACGTTGGGTGTAGAGATAGAATAAATCAACTTTAAAAAAATAAAAAAAATATTCACAGGTATCCTGACCACCTATATAGATAATTCTATGGACCCTACCAAAAAAGCTAAAAGAATAAGTGAGTTTAGTAAGGTTCTAGGATATAAGAACACTACACAAAATCAATTTTATATTCCAGCAATGAATAACCAGAAATTTACATTTTAAAAGCAATACCATTTATGACAGCATCAAAAAAATACGTAATACTTAGAAATCAATTTGACAAAAGATATGTAAATCCTGAGCACTGAAAACTATACAACACTGCTGAAAGAAATTAAGGAAGAACTAAATAAACGATGAGATACCTCATTTTTCTGGACTGTAAAGACTCAAAATTGTTAATAACATCAATTTTTCTTAAATTAATATAACAACTAAATGCAATCCAAATCAAAATCCTAGCAGACATTTTGTAGATGTTGAGAAGCTGATTTTAAAACTTACTTGAAAATGCAAAGTACCAAGAGGAGCCAAACTATTTTTGTAAAAGAAGAACAAAGTTGAAGAATGTATAACACTTAGTTTCAAGACTTATTATAAAGATATGACAATCAAGCAGTGTGGTAGTAAATAAATATAGACAAACATCAGTGGATCAGAATACAGAGTCCAGAAACAGACCCACAAAATCTCAAAAGTAATCAATCAACAAATCTTTTCAACAAATGGTGCTGGAATAACCTCACACCATAATTAAATATGGATCATAGACCTAAATAGAAGAGACAAAACTTCTAGCAGAAAACACAGAAGAAAATCTTATGAGTGAGATATGTCTTCAGTTTGGGAAAGACTTCTTAAATATGTCAAAATAAACATTAAGTATAAGAAAAATAAATACATTGCATTTCATCAAAAGAACTTTAGCTCTTTTTATTTTATTTTATTTTATTTATTGACAGACAGAGAGAGAGAGAAACAGAGTACAAGCAGGGGGAGCTGCAGGCAGAGGGAGAGGGAGAAGCAGGCTTCCCGCCGAGCAGGGAGCCCGATGCGGGGCTCGATCCCAGGACCCTGGGATCACGACCCGAGCTGAAGGCAGACGCTTAATGACTGAGCCACCCAGGCCCCCAAAACTTTAGCTCTTTAAAAATAAACTTTCTTGGGCGCCTGGGTGGCTCAGTTGGTTAAGCGACTGCCTTCGGCTCAGGTCATGATCCTGGAGTCCCGGGATCGAGTCCCACATCGGGCTTCCTGCTCAGTCTCCCTCTGACCCTCTTCCCTCTCGTGCTATCTCTCATTCTCTCTCTCTCTCAAATAAATAAATAAAATCTTAAAAAAAATAAAAATAAACTTTCTTAAGCAAATAACAAGCCAAAATTGGGAGAAAATATTTGCAAAACATATATTAACAAAAGAGAACATGTACAACTCTATAATTAGGAGATATAGTACTCAATTTTTAAAAAGGGCAAAATGTTTGAACAGGCACTTTCCCAAAGAAGGTATATGGATGGCAAATAAACACTTTTACAGTGCTCAAAAGTCATTAGTCACTAGGGAAATGCAAATGAAATCCCAAGCACCATCTCACAAGAATGGCCAAACATAAAAATTAAAGCATTGGTGAGGATGTAGAGAAAGTGGGATTCTCATACACTGTTGCTGGGAATGTAAAATGGTGCACCTCCTTTGGAAAACAGTTTGGCAGTTTCTTAAAAAGTTAAACGTACACCTATCATATGACTGAGGCATTTCATTCCAGGTATGTACTTAAGGGAAATGAAACTATATGTGCATATCATGACTTGTATACAAATGTTCTTAGCTTTATCTGAATAGCCCAAAACTGGAAACAACCCAGATGTCCATCAATAGATGACTAAATATACAGATTGTGATGTATCCATACAACGGGATACTACTCAACAATAAAAAGAAATAAACACTTGATATGTGCAGCAACGTGGGTGAATCTCAAAATAACTAGGAAAAGGAATGGGGCGCCGGGGTGGCTCAGTTGTTAAGCGTCTGCCTTCAGCTCAGGTCATGGTCCCAGGGTCCTGGAATCAAGCCCCGCATCGGGCTCCCTGTTCCACAGGAAGCCTGCTTCTCCCTCTCCCACTCCCCCTGCTTGTGTTCCCTCTCTGGCTGTGTATCTTTCTGTCAAATAAATAAAGAAAAAAAATATTTCAAGAGGTGCCTGGGTGGCTCAGTCATTAAGCGTCTGCCTTCGGCTCAGGTCATGGTCTCAGGGTCCTGGGATCGAGCCCCGCATCAGGCTCCCTGCTCAGCAGGAAGCCTGCTTCTCCCTCTCCCACTCCCCCTGCTTGTGTTCCCTCTCTTGCTGTGTCTCTCTCTGTCAAATAAATAAATAAAATCTTAAAAAAAAAAAAACCTAGGAAAATGAAAGAAGCTTGGCAAAAAGAGCACATACTGAATTATTCCATTTATGTATGGAATCAAATGCAAACTAAAACTACGGTGACGAGAAGCAGATCAATAGTTGCCTTGGGATAGGGAGGAGCACAAGGGAGGGATTTCAAAAGGGTACAGTGCAGGAAACTTTTGGAGGTGACGGACTTGTTCATTTTCTTAATTATAGTGATAGTTTCAAGGTTATATGCATATGTCAGTTGCACCTTTTTTTTGCAAAATGAATTAAATTTTTTTTTTTACTTGAGTATAGTTGACACACAATGTTACATTGGTTTCAGTTGTATAGCATAGTGATTCAACTTCTTTACATGTTAGGCTCACAAGTAGAGCTACCATCTGTCACCATACAATGCTATTACCATTGGCTATATTCCCTATGCTTTTATTCCTGTAACTTATTCATTCCATAACTGGAAGGCTATATCTCCCACTCCCCTTCCCCCATTTTGCCCATCCCTCCATCCCCCTCTCCTCTGGGAACCATCAGTTTGTTCTCTGTACTTATAAGTCTGATTCTTCTGTTTGTTTATTCATTTTTTTTTTTTTGCTTTTTAGATTCTACATATGAGTGAAATCATATGGTATTTGTCTTTCTCTGTCTGACTAATTTCACTCAGCATAATACCCTTTAGGTCTATCCATGTTGTAGCAAATGGCACGATCTCATCCTTTTTATGGCTGTGTAATGTTCCACTGCATAAATATACCACATGTTCCCTATTCATTCACCTATTGATGAACACTTAGGTTGCTTCCATGTCTTCGCTATTGTACATAATGATGTGATATACATAAGGGTCAACTGTACTTTTCAAATAAGTACAGTTTTATTGTGTATCAATATACTTTTAAAATTTATAAAAATGTAATGAAAGACAGTTGGGTGAGAAAACACCATTCCTATGTCTCATCCTTAAATTTTTTTGACAATGTCTCAGCAGAATTTAAGAAATAGTAAAGAAAATGTGATACTTACTTGAGAAAGTCTGTCTCTCTTTGAATTCTCATGATCTCTGTGCTTGTCAAACTCTTCTGGCCAGTTATGTGTGCAAAACTAGGGAACTACAATTAAGGTCCATATAAAATCACAGTATAAGCTATGTACAGTAAAATTTCATTTTAATGTGTTGTCTTATCATATCCAGCACTCATCTTTTGAGAACCACGATGGGAGAATCATAAGTAATGATTACCCCAGGACCCAACATTAAGAAAATTAGAATGCTATCATGATTAGGTATGTATATTTCATTAAAAACAGAGTTTACAAGAAAAGATATCTGAATTTACCATCAGACAGACCAGAGTTTAGAATTTAAAAACCTAAGTTGCCCTCTATTTTTCTCAAAGATTACATCCCCAGGACTCAAAGATTCACCTAAAATAACATATGCAGCAACTGTCTGCTGTTATCCAAAAACATTTAACTCATTTGATATATTTTTATTTGAGCATTCACTTTGTACCAGGCACTGTGTTTGACACAGGGAGAGGGGGACAAAGATGAATATTACACGGTCCCTACCCTTTAGGAGCTGAACTGGTGGACACACAAAATACTGAAACACTGTGGTTTGCATTTGTGTTGAGTCCCATGGGACCCTAGAAGAGAAAATAACCACCTTCACTTGCTCCAGGGGAGAAAGGTTTCCTAGGATGCTAACACCTGAGCTGGGCCTGGGAAAGTAAGAAAAGGTTTGTCAAATGGACAGAAGACAATGGGAATCCCAAACAGAGGAAACCCCTTTGCAAAGGCACAGGGGTAGGGCAGTGCTTGGCCTATCCTGGGGCTCAGAGGTGTGACGTGCTTTAGACGTCTGAGTAGCTGCAGAAGGAACATGGAGGGGAGGAGCTATCCCTTAGGAAGGGTCTGACACCTGCTAAAATGGTATTACGCAGTCATTATCTCCTTAACATTTCACAATGATCTTATGAGGTGGGTAATATTATCCTCATTTAAAAATTTTTTGTAATAGTTTCTTGTGATATAATTTTGAACTTACAGAAAAGTTGCAAGGAGAGTACAAATAACTCCTGCATACCCAGCTTGACCAGTTTTTCACGTTAACATTTTGCCCAGTGCACCTTCTCTCTCTCCCTGAATCATGTGAGAATGAGCGGCAGTTACAATGCCCTTCTGCCCCTACATACTTGAGTGTGCACGACCTAAGAACTAGGATGTCCTCTTACATGACAATGCAATTATCAAAACCAGAAAAGTTAACAGCTACACAATACTATGATCTAATCCCCAGATCTTTATTCAAATGTCATTGTTCCTACCAATGATGTCCTTCACACTATATATTATTTTTCCTGGTCTAGGATCCAGTCCAGTGTCACGCTGTGCATTTAGTTGTCAAGTCTCTTTTGTCTCCTTTAACCTGGAATTGTTCCTCAGTCTGTCTGTATCTTTCATGATCTTGACATGTTTGAAGAGTAATGGGTCATTTAATCTGTGGAATCTCCATTAATTTGGTTTTGTCTGATGTTTCCTCATGATTGGATTCAGGCATGCATTTTGGCACAAATATGAGGGAAATGATATTGTGTCCATCTCAGTGCCTCACACCAAGAGGCACATATAATCCCCATTTTTGTTTCCCTTGCCTTTGAAGACATGTCTAGCAAGAAGTTGCTGAGGCCAAGGTCAAAGAGGTTGCTGCCTATGTTCTCCTCTAGGACTTTGATGGATTCCTGTCTCACATTTAGGTCTTTCATTCATTTTGAGTTTATCTTTGTGTATGGTGTAAGAAAATGGTCCAGTTTCATTCTTCTGCATGTGGCTGTCCAATTTTCCCAACACCATTTGTTGAAGACACTCTTTTTTCCATTGGATATTCTTTCCAGCTTTGTCAAGGATTAGTTGACCATAAAGCTGAGGGTCCATTACTGGGTTCTCTATTCTGTTGCATTGATCTATGTGTCTGTTTTTGTGCCAGTACTATATTGTCTTGATGATTACAGCTTTGTAGTAGAGCTTGAAGTCCGGAATTATGATGCTATCAGCTTTTGTCTTCTTTTTCAACATTCCTCTAGCTATTCAGGGTCTTTTCTGGTTCTAGTCAAATTTTAGGATTATTTGTTCCAGCTCTGTGAAAAATATTGATGGTATTTTGGTAGGGATTGCATTGAATATGTAGATTGTTCTGGATAGCATAGACATTTTAACAATATTTTTCTTGGAGGGAGGTGGGTGAGGGGATGGGGTAACTGGGTGATGGGCATTAAGGAGGGCACTTGATGTAATAAGCATTGTAATATGCAACTGATGCATCACTAAACTCTACCTCTGAAACTAAAAATAATCATCATCATCCCCATTTTTGAGATGAAGATGCTGAGGCTCAGAAAGGTTGAGTCACTTGCATGAGGTCATGTCAACAGTATGTGAACTATCTCACATATCCAGGCCTCTCTGACCCCAGTAGGGTCCCTGTCCACCACAATAACTACGGGCTGAGCTTAGGACTCCAGAATTTATGCTTTAGGCAATGGGGAGCAGTCAGAGGTTTTGAGTTGCTTTTGTGTCAGATCTAACATGGCATAGACAAAGTGGTGGTCTACTGGCCAAATCTGGCCTGCCATTGAGTTTCATTTGGCCCATACATATTGGTCCACACAGCGTTTCAAAATTCAATTTAATTGTTAACATTTAAAATTAGGTTATAACACATAAAGATGGAGGTTTCTGGATTTTCTTGCAAAATCATAAGATGTGGCAATACTGAGTCTGTAGGCCTTCTTGTCCACAGCTGACTGGAGCTAAGTAGAGATAACTAACCCATTGAGCTGACTCAGGCATTCCATGTTGCCAGAGAACCCCTGACTCATGCCCTGAAACTAAAGCCCCATGTCAGCTGTCATTTGTCTTCCACCCAGGTTTTACAACACATTTACTCTGCTGCCTAGCCCCTAATGGTGCCCCCAGGTCAGATGCTTAGTTCAGAGACATCTTGTCTCCCCGGTGGTTGTTGACATGTTGTAATACCCAGCATCATTAATTCTGTTTGCTGAAGTATGCCTCAGATGGGATTGAGCTGGAATAATGACAAGAATCTCTTACCAACAGGAATAAAAAGAGTAGAAGATAAACGTTTTGCAGTCCTTTTCTGGCCCCCTTGGTCCTCTGATTTCTAGTCAAATTCCCCGAATGTGTCCCCATGTTCCTAGTTTTGGGGTATTCTAAATCTTGGAATCTTTACATATTGTCTCATTTTATCTTTCCTTTTGAAACAACTCTTAAATAACTAGGTGGGCAAGGTAATCCAAATATTCATACACAAAGAAAATCAATCACTCTTTCTGGACACATTACAGATTATTATGGTCACGTGAGAATGTTTTCCAAAAATAGTTATGATTGCATTTTGTCATATACCATTCATTCTTCAAAATGATATTTTTCTATCTTAAAACCAGTATTCTTATATACTACACTGGCTACACTGGGGAGAACTGCTTACAGGAGTTGAGTGCTCATTAGTCCATTTGGTAACCAGGGAATCATTCTTCCAGAAGACTGAGAAGGGCAATCTTCTATTGCAGGGATGTTGTCCTTTTGTTTACTGAGATTTTCAGGAAGGCCTTACTAGGTCAGTGGTCCTCTGGCCTGGGCTTTGTGACCCTCCAGGAAATACAGTCAGTGGGCTCATAGAAGAACCCGGGAGGTCACACTGAGTTACACTACAGCACTAGAGACTGGAAATGAAGAAAAGGATTTGACTTTGAGATAAGGATAGTTGGTCTTCTAGGCCATGGATGCTCAGACTGAGCTGATTACCAAAATCTTTCAGGAACTCCATCCCAGGCTTATGGGATCAGATTACCTAAAAGGATTGTAGGAAGGTGTAGCTGGGAGTGCATATATATTTAAAGTTCCCCCAGGTGATTCTGATGTACAACCAGGTGTGAGGGTCATACCTTTTTTTATACTTGATGGTAAGTGTGAGCAGCCTTGGGATCAGAGGTACACAAGAAGCAGTTGTGGGTGGCTAGAAAATGTGATTCCAGGTACACTCTACCTAGGGCTCACAATTGGAGGAAGAGAGCAAGGGCTCTTGGGTTGCCCTTAGATGCCAAAAGTCTAGACTGGATTTTATAAACACTGAAAAATCAGAGTGCTCGAATAGTTGTAGTAGGCAACTAGGATAAGAGAATCTTTGTGTTATATAGTAATTAAGTAATTAAGTATTTAGGTTGTAAATCACCTCCAAATCGAATGGGCAAGTCCCTGTCCTTGTCTAATTTGAAACCTTGGTAACATTTGACATATATGTGTACTTCTCTTTGAAACTCTTTCTTCTTTTGACTTCTATGGCACCACTTTTTTTTTCCTTTGGCTTTCTTCCTTCTTCTCAGGCTCTTCCTCCTCTGCTCAACCTCTAAGTCAAGGATTTTGTCTTGTGCCATCTACTCTTCGTCTTCTGTACCCTGTCAGCAAGTAATCTCATTCAGACCCAAGCTTTAAACACCATCTATATATTGAATATTTCTAAATATATATCTGTGGCCCTGACCTCTTCCCTGAGTTTGAACTTGCACATCCAACAGTCTACTTAAGACATCCAGATAGATGTCTAATGAGTCCTTTCATACCTGCTTCTCCCTGATCTTCCCCATCTCAATTAATAGCACCACCATCTCTAGATGTCCAGGCCAGAACCCAGAGTCAACTTTGGCTCCTCCCTGTCCGTTATCCCATCTATCTGATCCTTCAGCCAAACCTGGTGTCTCTTCCTCCAAAACATATCTGGATTCCCATGCCTCCTACCATCACCACTTCTACAACCTTGGTCCAAGCCACCATCATCTCTCCCCTGGAGCAAAAACCTTCTAAATGATACTCCCCTCTTATTCCTTTACAGCTTAATCTCCATACTGTGGCTGAAGGGAAAAATTTTAAATGCAAATGATATCCTGTCTCACCTTCCAAATAGATTCCCTTTACAATTAGAGGAAAATCCAAACTCCTTGCTATAGGCCTCAAGATCCTAGCATCTGTGATTCTCAACTATGCCTGTCCATTAGAATCACTTGTGGGTGAATTTTATTTAATTGTTTTAAAGATTTATTATTTTTTTGAGAGAGAGAGCACGCACATGCGAACGCACATGCACATGAGCTGGGAGGGGAGGGGCACAAGGAGAGGGAGAAGCAGGCTTCCTGCTGAGCAGGGAGCCCAACTCAGGGCCCCATCCCAGGACCGTGGGCTTATGACCTGAGCCAAAGGCAGATGCTTAACCGACTGAGCCACCCAGGTGCCCACTATTTTAAAATTTTTGATTGATGACTTAACATGTTTATTATCTGCATGCCCCACTCCCAATAAAATGTAAGCTTCTGAGTACAGGGGACTTTCTTGTCCAACACAGTATTCCCAGGACTAAAACAGTGCCTGGCACATGGTGAAAAGGCTAGGAGATACTGACTTAAAAGTATTTCATGGGAAGATTAAGAATATAGGAGGTATTTAGTACCATAAAGATTTTCTTTAGAAGTTACCTGAGACTGGCGGGTGGGTGGTCTAGAACCTGATTCTTCATGGTAAGGTGGGATTTCCAGTGGACTCTCTGAGAAACGAAGATCTTCCCATGTTTTAGAGTCAGTTCTTTCACCTACCTCAAGGTCTACAATTATTTAAAAAAAAAATCATTCTGTGAACGTCTGTAATTATATGTGTAATTATGCAAATATGTCTTCATAGGTAGAAACATTTTTAGGGACCACTGTCATCACATCTTTAACTAGACATAGCAACTATATAAAGAAGCCCCCACTCGGTGAACTAACACTGGGAAAGAAAAAATTAACCTGGACTGAGAAAATAAAAATCTGCCCTGCTATTCTATAACATTCCACATCAGGCTGAGAAAATAGATAAATCCAATGGCAAGGTTAGCAGGAAACATTATTTCTCCCAAGGACACACCGTAGCTGTAAAATGTCGTAACAGCCCCCCACCCTTCTTTGAGTGGCTACTGTTTCCACATTTATTTTTATAGTTTCCAAGGTGAACAAAACCCTGGTTCCCTTTGCAATCCATACCTGATGGTGCCAGTTCACATGCAGCCCTGCTTTGCTTCGAGTCTGTCAAAACTCTGCTCTCATTTAAATTTCACCCAGACTCCATCTGTCCCCCAAGCCCTATAACTTTGTCTTTTCCTTTGTTTGGTGTGATGCCCCACGGTTCTTCTGCAGGGTGGTCTCCCTTGTTGCAACGAGTCAACAAATCTCACTTTGTTGGACTCCTTGATAATCCCTCTTGGTCTTAAGCTGTTATCGAGGACAGCACTAAGATTATAACTTACTTTTCTATTCCAGTGTTTCTTATTCCAACCCTTCTGCAGACAAGAACATAAGCAGTGAACCCATTTGGCGGTTTAGAATATTAAACCTTATCTTCATTCTTCCATGTCATACCTGCAGACTTTCTAAGGTCAACATTCCCATGCTGTTTATTTTCAGCATTCTTATATTTCTTCCATAGTTTTGATCCCACGAATCCATTTTTCAATTCCTAGGAATGAAGAGATTGCATGTCAATCACTTGATCACACCCATTTGCAATGTGAAAATGAAAAGTTGCCAGGTAGAGACAATGTCATAGTGTGCCCTTCTTACTTGAAAGGGTTTACAATAGTTTTTACAAAATGACCTCTGTTTCACCTTACTCTGGAAACACACAGTTTTTATCTGGGCCGCTTGGCTGGTAGCATGTCTGCTTGGTAGGCTCTACCAGGCAAGCAGCAGGCAGCAGGACATGAAGGCAGGATGTTACAGTCATGGGAGTCTGGGGAGTAACAAAGGGACCACCAGATCCAGGAGGCAAATAAAAGGTGGGGTCAGACCAAGATAGACTTAACCACACTACCTGTCCATGCACAGTCCTTATAATCTTCTCCATGGACTTTCTTCCCCACGGACTCAGTCCCTTATGCCTGATTCAAGCCTGAGCACCTACTGACCCAAGTTAGCCCAGCCTCTGCTGGATACCCCTGCCCATGGCAGATCCCTGTCCTGATCATACTTGAGCCCCACACTATGCCTGTACCCACTGCTCTGGTCCCACAGCCACCTCTGGACTCTGGTCTGTCCTTGGGCTAAAGGGATCCCTTCCCAAACTTCTGGTCATCCCCATCAAGACCTCCACGACTAAGACTTTTTGGTTGATTGCCTTACCATGAGCTAGCCCATCCTCTGGCCCTCAGATCTGTCTCACTGGTGCTCAAAGCCCAGGGACTGAAGTTTCAAACATCCTTGTAGATAAGTCTAGTTCATCCTCCAAAGAGGCAAGGCTTTGAGCTTTTCAGGGATGGAGATTTCAACACAATGAATGGCTATGGTCACAGAGGGTTTCTACTAGTCTGATGTATCTGTTCAACAAATATACACTCACTGCCCTCTCCAGCCTACCTCTGTGCAAGGCAATGAGTATGGCAGACATGCTCTCTGCCACCTTAGAACTTACCCTGCCTGGGGAAGGTAGACGATGAGCAAAGTAATCACATATTCAAAGCACCATATAAAAGGAGAAGGCCTGAATGCTGGGGGAGCAGTGATAGAACACAGCATACACAGTGTAGTTTGGCTGGAGTAATATACAGAGGAGTCACAGAGCAAAAAAGGATGACTGAAGCCAGAAACTGATCACTTTCTTCAATAGTAAGTTCCACTGAAGACAATGGAACATGGGCCATGATGCTGGGGAGGAATTTCTAATGTGCAGGATGGACTGACCAACAGGCAGGAAATCACTTTGCCATGGTGGCTACTGACCTCAATTATAAGAACCTATGAGCACAAGTGACGAAATGAAAGAGAAGATGGGAATCACTGAGAAAGAAGGAACCAAGAATGTGGTGACCATCTGAAAGTGTTACAGTTTCATTACTTGCCTGCTTGGAAGAATCTTTGAGAACATTTTCAACATGGTTTTCTGAAGAGACTGTATTTGGTGGCTCATAGCCCACCTGAAACACCTTTGTTACAATGCTACTCTGTCTGCAGTCCCTGAAAATTATTCAAAATAGAAAAAGTGTTACACAAAGCTTCAAAGAAAAGACAGCTATCTTGAATAACCATGCTGCCAGCCACACCACTTGATAAAGAACCAGGCCACTACCACCTTCAACCCCACCACCACCCCACTCTGAGGTTCCTTGGTTGGTTTCCATAAATTACCATTTGGGCCCCTAGTTTGTTTGTTTTTCTCTTCCCAAGCCTGAAATTCCTGCTCTTATGTTTTAAATTAACCAATAAAGAGTGAGACCAAGAGACCCTAGGCCCCTACCCTCAACCCCAATAAAAGCAGAACCCCAGGCCCATGAACTCTCTCTCTCTACTGGTGACCTTGCTGTGTGGCCTCAGGTATGCTATGTAATTTCTAAGACCTGTAAGTAATAAACCTTGTCTCTGAGTTTCCTGATGGTTCCTGCTGAGGATGTCTTACAGCCATGATAAGAACCACAAGGGCCAGTCTAGCCACAACACTGGTTACTGATGGGCTGAGGCTGGCACACGAGAGTCTTCATGTGGACATGTTTTCATTTCTCTTGAATAGATATACAGGAGAGGAATTGCTGGGTCATGTGGTATCTCTAACTTTTTAGAAACTGCTAAACTGTGGTTGTTCCATTTTACATTCCCACCAGCATTATCTGAAGTTTCCAGTTTCTCCACATACTCATAAACATTTGATATTGTCAGCCTTTTTTGATCACCTGTACTCTTGATTATGTTCTCTGTAGGCATTTGCTTGTGCTGTGTCCCTAGAGCATTGGGATATGGGCTTGGCTGTTGGAACACAGAATCAAAACAATAGTGGCTTAAACTAGAGAGAATCAACAGGGTATAATCAGCCCAGAGCTGGTACAGAGGTGCCATGGTGATGGGGGCATGGTGTCAAGTTTCAGCCTCATTGCTCCATCTCTAGGACCTTGAACTTGTCTTCATGACCCAACATGGCTGGCCATATCCACATTCCAGCCAGCGGGAAGCAGGGACCACCTCTTCCCTTTAGGGGCACAATCCAGAAGTTGCACACATCACTTTCACATACACTTCACTGGCCACACCTGGTGATATGGCTCTTGACAGTTGCAAGGAGGATTGGGAAATATCTTTCTTTCAGGCAACGATGTGTCCGGCTAAAAATCATGGGCTCTATTATTCTAGAAGAAGGGAAACACAGACACTGGGGGACAGCCACCAGTCTCCAATGGTCATAATGACCATGTGTCAGATTTAATATTTTTAACTCTCATGCCCACTAATTTGTGTTGAAAGCTCATAGCTGGAACACAGGTGATTCTGTGTGAATTCTATTCTGCCCAGGCACTTAATTCTTTTTCCATTTCCATTCTCTTCTTTCTTTTGTGTTCTTTGTCTGCTTTGCTCTTATTGATTTTCATATTGGTCTGTGATACATTTCATGTTTCATTAGCCTTTCTTTTGCAATTTCTCAGATCCCTCACACGTCAGATTTTTAATATTTCTTAAAAATTTTGAAGCTTTAAGTGTCGCAAAATACTTTAAATTCTTTGATTAAGTAAATATTTATAAATGCATAAACATCAATTCCAAAACAGTTGAGAAATGTTTAACGTGAAGCAATAAGGAAGTTTCAAGCTACATTTCTAGAAGAAAAAAATGATCAGAAATACACAATTCATCTCAATTGCCACTATCTATCAGTGTGTAATAATATTTAAACTACATGTTCACTGGCTGGAGTGATTTATGGGTAGCTAAACTTTGGGGAAGCACACGTTTTGTTTTCCTTTGTTTTGTTCTTAATTACAAAACCAGTTTTACAGTTACAGAAATCTGGATGCAGATACAGATGATCTTTTAGATGAACTGCTTACTTAACTCATTCACCTCAACATCCATCTCACCTAAATGTTCATCTTTGGTCCCAGGTCTGTCACCCAAGATACAGTTGTCCTCCTAGCTAGCATACTTCCTAGACACCACAAACATCTCTATCCAGGGATCCTTTAAATCCTGGATAATCGTGGGGCTCCCTGAAATGTGCGCTTCTAGCCCCACCATCACACTAAGCTGAAGCCTGACTCCCATCCACTTGTTCTACTCCTGGAAGGTACAGGTTGCCTCTCCAACCACATCTGGCCCCTTCCATGGGGACCCAGCCAGGGCTTTCACCCGTGGACTTTGTTCCCTCCATGAGGAGCCCAGAAACTAGCTTCAACTGCCTGCTAAGTAGAAGGATTCCTGATTGTGATATCAAAACAGGCTTAAGTTTAGGGTTGGAGCTAGAAATCATACTCAGCCCAAATCTCATTTAAACACACATAAATTGGGGTGCCTGGGTGGCTCAGTCAAGCGTCTGCCTTCAGCTCAGGTCATGATCCCAGGGTCCTGGGATCAAGCCCCACATCGGGTTCCCTGCTCAGCGGGAAGCCTGCTTCTCCCTCTCCCACTCCCCCTGCTTGTGTTCCCTCTCTCATTGTGTCTCTCTCTATCAAATAACTAAATAAATAAATCTTAAAAAAAATAAAATAAAAATAAATAAACATAAATTTTTGCTAGATTGAAATCAAAGGCCTTGAATATATATCTTTAGGAATAGCAATATAAGGTGCATTCAACATAAAAAAAGTTATGTGTAGCTCTAGCCCCACAATGATCACTATCCTCTCAATAAAACAGCAGAATTACTTGGATGTTTGTAAGAATTAAGAAGCTGGATCTATAAGAATTCTGCAACTTGTCCAGGCCAGGTTTTCTCAATCTACTGAGAACTACTGAAATTTTAGGCTAGGTAATACTTTGTTGTGGAAGGCTATCCTGTGCTTAGATGTTTAGCAACATCCTTGACCTCCCCCCAGCAGATGCCACTAGCACACTCCCACTTCCAGATGTGACAACCAAAAATGTTTCCAGACATGACCAAATGTCCCCTTTAGGGCAAAATTATGCCCAACTGAGAACTTCTGGTTTAGGAACATGAAGGGGTTAAGTAGAACCCACTTACTCATGCAGGCATAGATTTTTCAAATACGAGGCATGCCCTTGAGTTGGGTCACACAACAGCAACTTGTTAGCCCCTTTGTTAAGAATGTGAATAACAACAAACAACAATAATAACAGCTACTACATGTGCAATGCCAAGTGTATACTAAGTGTATTACCTCGATATTCACAATGGCTGCCAACTAAGTTTTATTAACCTCATTTAATGAATGAGAAAACCGAGAATCAGAACTTAATCAAGTTAGTAAGTTCCTCTTATTCAATGAGGAGCAAGAGAACTGGGGTTAAAGTCCAGATCTGAAGGCCAACAAACTCCATCCTGTCTCACACTCCAAACTACCCCTCTCAAAGCAGTGCTCTTCTTGCCTTTGTTGCTGCTATGGAGATGACATCCGGATCTTTCCTCCACACATTATATACTGCATGGGGCTGCAGATGGATGCCCGTGAGATGCCCTGGTAACCTGCCTATCAGTTTATTAACCATTGTTGTAAAACTGGTAAGTCCCCCATGAAAGAAAAATTATTGTTCTCAGGGGACTCTGACTCCCCCAGCTACCTACCTTCAGTTTGAGACAATTTTTACCTCAGCCCAGCTCAATTTATCTTGACCACCATATAAGGTAATTGACAGAGAAGGGAGAACCACACAAGTTCACTGTCAAAACACTATAAAATGGCCAACAGACGCATGAAAAAGTGCTCAACATCGCTCGGCATCAGGGAAATCCAAATCAAAACCTCAGTGAGATACCACCTCACACCAGTCAGAATGGCTAAAATTAACAAGTCAGGAAATGACAGATGTTGGCGGGGATGCG